CAATATTATATGGATGGTGTTACTAACATTTTAAATAAACATTTATGTAGGTGTGTAATATTTTTATTCAACCATTTAAATTTTGAGAATAATATTAAAATTGATTGATTTTTAATTGTTTAAACTAGTTCAAATTTGGATGCGGCGACAGGGTAAGACCATATGGTTCAAGACATGAGTTTTAAAAATGAATTATTAATGCTTTCTGAGAAATGGACTTATGAAATAGGTCGGAATAACTCTGCTTATAATTGATGGTGAATATCTTTACTGGACTCAAGCAAAGATTGATTGAGATTTTGGAACGCAATAACTCTGTTTATGATTAAGGTAGAATGGTTAAACATTTCTACACGCCCACATTGAAATGGGATCTTGTATTATTGTGACCCCTGTCTGTATGTCTGCTGCGATATTTGATTAGACCTGCGATTTTTATTTATAATATTTTTTTATTGCAAGTGCACATGCCAAATTCCAACAAAAATGCTGTTTTTGCTAGGCCTTCTATCTGCACCACTGATATGGGGAAAAAACGTGAAAATCCTGAAAAAGTTCTCAGCCATCACGGAGTGGTGCCAGATGGTGGGTCTGACTAGGAACAAAGCGTTGAGTCATTTAGATGAGACAGAAAATAACTAAGGTTTACAGGCAAAATTTTCCTCATGAAACACTGCATGGCATAATCCTGTCTACATTAGCCGAGTTGATGCTGAAAAGTAGGATGCTAAACCTAATTTTCCCAGTCAGTGATAAAATTGATGATTGTCTGAGACAGAAGATAAAGTTGATACTTCTGTAATTGAGAGTCCAATAGTCCAATAGTTTATTTAATGTACATAATAAGGTCAAGAGTTGATGGTACAATAGAGCTATTAAAACAGACAATGATTGAAATGATGCTATATATTCTGTCAACACATTCATGTCAATACTTATACCACCCCCTGTTTATCAAGACATCAGTTGACATTATCAGTTTCCTCTCTTTAACATTTATAAACTCCATGCTCTCTCTATATCCTATGCACAGCTGGGGAATAAGATAGACTGATTCGTCTCAGGGAGGTTTTTTATTCGCAGACGAGAAGCTAGATTTTATGTATGTTTATTGGATGCTTCCAGTAATTGGATGCTTGAAAGAATTCACTATGTAAATGTTGACCAATTTTTCTGCTCCTGTGCCAAGAAATCCGATTTTTTGGGGATTGATTTGTCTGATTTACGTGTTCCTGGTCAAATTTTTATTGATTACAATATAATAGAGATATTATTTTGGACATAAGGTTATATCTAAAGATATTGAAATATTAATTTTACTCTTTATTTGAAGGCCTCTCAACCTTTTCCAAAAGAAAGTATCTGCTTTGATGAACAGTTTAGTTGATGTTATCATCGTTGCACCCTTATGATGATTGATTTTGAATTTCAGACAGTAACTACCCATCAAAATGCCCGCTTCTTGACCGCAAATTGTGTAAAAGTATGTAATACCAAGGTTGTGGACCTGCCAGATATTTGGATATTTGCACATATCAGACTATAATTTCCTGGATAATGGCCCCCTGATTGTATGCAAAATCACATTTTTAGCTAGTTAATCCTCTTAGAGGACACAAATTTTATCAGATTTAAAAAAACTTTAAATATATCACCGTTTCACCATAATGGAGGTAAAATTAAAGCAAAAGTGCTTGACAAAATCGTCGCTCCTTGTATGGAAATAGTGTTAAAGTGTGTAATAAGACGGTTGTGGACCCTCTAGAGGTCACATTTTTTTTACGATTTTGATGAAACTTCAAATATATCCTTATATCTTAAAGATCTCAGCCCCTTTTGATGTTCACTCATTTCAGACTATAACTTCTGGGATTATGGCCCCTGATTGTACAAAGTATCACATTTTTATCCATCTCTTGTAAAATACGAGCATATGTTGCCTGGCAATCGCTGATTTTAATATGTGTCCCTTGTAGCCTCTGAGTCTGTCGGAACTATAATTGATTAAAATACTAGACTATTCCCAGATCTATAGTGTTTAAGTTTCACTCATTTTATTGCACAATATTTTCAGCTGCCTAGCAGACTATATACTGATTATAGCAGATTGTGAAATGATATGTCGGACTGATACGGTTGGGAATAAATACAAGATAATATTACCCAGTAATGATGTACAACACTTTTATTGCATCTTTGGGTACCAGCGGTTTGGAAATAACGATTTCATTTGTAGCTGACAAAATGTCCGGCACTAATGAAATAGAGAGAGAGAGAGATGGGGTTTAATGTCCACTCGACATAAACTAGGTCATTTAGGGACTAACAATAATTCACATGTGCTAAGGAGTCTTCAGCAGCGGAAGGAAACCGTAGGACATGGAGAAAAGCCACAAGGTTGGACAGGTGACCCTGCTCCTTGTCATGTACAAATGAAATGGGGTTTAACGTCCTACTGTTCTGCTCCTAACCTGGGCTAATGAAGATGGGCTTGTCATGTACAAGCAGGGAATCAAAACAAAGCCACTAGACTTAATGACAGACCTTATGCGTTAAACCACTAGACCCCCCCCAGAATGCTTCCACAACAGATGTTAAAGCCCATCTCTCTCTCTCTCTGAAATTGTTTTTAAAGGCATGTGGAAAATAGATTTCTTCTACAAGTATTTCCAGAAGCATATAAAGCCATGTTTTTCTTAAAGAAGTAAGGAAGCTAGAGATTTATTGATGTAGAGAATAGTTAATAGTGTTTACCATATATTGAATTATCTTATAATGGTGTGCCTGTAGCTAGGTGAAGAAAACCAGTAATAATGATGGTTATAAATGAAGAGAGAACACCAGCTTCAGATATTACACCTACAACTGATTCTCATCTCATGGCTTTTATCACTTATATTCACTTGATTTGATATTTGCTGTTTATATCTTGCTATATCTATAGTTTGTCTAGGAAAACTAGGAGAAAACTTGGGCATATGATCCTTTTCCTTGTCGTGTACAAGATTGGGATTGAAACCACACCACTTGACTCAATGACAGACGTTCTGATTTAAAGTGCACTCATTGGACAACTTGACCAATCAATTCCCTGTACAGGTTACAGGGGTATAATTAGATATATATATTCTGAAAAATACAGTCATCATGTACAGGCATAGTTTTCAGGCATAAAATCTGCCAAAAATAATGGCTCAACATTCAACCATTTTTGATTGTATTTGTCTATAGCCATAAATGGACGAATCAGACAATTAAAACAGACATGTTATGGATATGGACTAGTAACTTTAATTTAATCCTGACTAAAAATACCTTGAGTCTCGTGTATCACTTTTCCAGTGTCAAATATTTTGATCAATAGTGATAAAATTAATCTAACAATCTCTCATTGTCTTGCCTCATGATCAAGGTACTTGGAAATGTCATTTTGGTTGTGCCAAGACCGTTTCTAAATTTCAAATGAATAATATTCTTCAGTAGATTGAAGTATTTTTGGTAGACTAATATCAGACACCTAATTTTGGAGATTGATAACATTATTTTATTTGATCAGAATATAAATTGAACATAAACAATTAAAGATGTTTGGTGTACACATGATTGCTATAAGAATCGTCTATTGATATGGATTCCATGCTCGTTCCTAATAGCAAATCAAATTTTCTAAACCTTAATTTTATCCTTCACCTCAGTTAGATCCATTTGGAAACAAACTGTTGTCATTAATTGATTCTGATGCAATCTGATTAAAATACAGTTCTATATTTCGTTTCGTTCTTTTTATACTTTCGAGTCGCGTCAGGGGTCGTACTAACGGCTTTTGACCCTATGACGTCAGACATTGATTAATAAATCAGCGTTGACGTTTCTAGTGGTTTACCCACAGTTCCATGCATGGCCAAATCCCTCACACTATCCAGAATGCCTTTTATATATATAACAATTCTTCCAGATCCTAGTGAAATGAAATGAAATAAAATGGTGGTTTAACGTCCTACTTTTCTGCTCCTAACCTCGGCTAATGAAGACGGGCATACGCCATACAGTTTGCTATGAGGGAAATTTTGCCCGGGCAGCGGCGCTACGGCCTACTCTTATATCAAATTCCAACTGCAAAGGGATCTTTTACGTGCACGCCAATGTGTACACGGGACCTCAGCTTTTGGTCCCATCCGAACGACTAGACAGCTTTCCTTGTCAGCCCCTCCGTCCTGCATCACTGACAAGGGAGAACCACGCCGGAAAATCTGGATGAACTTTCTCGGCCAATGCAGGGATCGAACACCCGACCTCCAGGCTAGCAAGCTAGCGTCTTACCCACTTAGCCACGTGATGCCCAGATCCTAGTGAAGTACAGACAAATAAAACTAAATTTTGAACTATAAAAAACAAAATAAAATAGGATCTGTGTTTTAATCAGATTGATTTTGATGATTCTATTCATTGAGCCAGAAATATACTTGTATATCTCATAAAAATAACCCCAATCTATACTCTTTGATTTTATTTAATTCCATAGGATTGAATCAGTTCAACTGACCAATTAACTAAAAATATAATTATTTATTGTTCCACTCATAGTTTGAACACAGCCTGTAATGGCAGATTGCGTATATACTTAATAAAAGTTTGAATTTGGTTGGCCTTTGAAGATTTCTTTAATGATCATTTCTGAGCCAGTGAGTAAGTTGCTGGCTCACTAAGTAGGAGGCCCTCGGATCAATCCCGCTGTGGACCCCAAAAAATCCTCAAGATTTTCCAGCTTGATTCTCCTGTCAGTTGTGCAGGACCTGGCAAGGATCAACATCAAGTCGTTCGAATGGGATGAAAAAAACAAGTCATGTGTAGTGCTTACACATTGGATATGCAGCTGCCTTGGCCAAATTTTGCTCATAGCACACAGCATGGTATATATGTCTGTCTTGACTCTTCATTAACCTGGTTGCACATAAAAGTAAAATGTTATTTCATTTAATGATTATTTCATTATTTTACAGAGTCCAGATTCTGAATTTGATGTTGAAAGTGAAAGTGCCAAAGTAACTTCCAGTAAAGATTGTTTTTTTCGAGATGGAGTCAGAAAAACTGGTAAGTAAAACTAATGACCTCGTTACAGCAACATAAAAAATTGATTCTTTGATGGAAAATATGCAGTAGAATATAAACAGCTTTTCTTTCAGGTTTGAGTTTAATGACCCGAAACCTTGCAGGAGCATCATATTTGTCACTCTTCACTGACTTCACTGATCCAGTTGTTTTAAAGTAGTGTTTTTAACGAGAAATAAATTTGCATTGATTACCTCTAATGACTGTGATGGGTTTCATTTTCTGAATTTATAATCAGTAAATAACATTATTATTTACTACATACAGTGAACATTTTTCTATTAATGTACAGTATGGAATTAATGAGCCTTAAACTTTGCCATGATACTTGAATACATTTATATGATAAACAAGAAAGTCTCCTATAATTAGGCTGGGATGGCCGAATGGTTAGCACGTGCGACGTGCGTGTTGTATCATAAAGTCTGTCATTGAGTCAACTGGCATGGTTTCGATTCCCCGGTTGTACGTGACAAGGAGTAGGGTCGCCTGTCCAACCTCGTGGGTTTTCTCCGGTTTCCTCCCACCGCTAAAGAACCCTACGCGCAAATGAATTATTGAAATAAAATTGAACCATATGTTAATTTCAAAATGACCTAGTTTGTGTCGAGTGGAGGATAAACCCATTTCTCTCTCTCTCTCTCTCTCTCTCTCTCTCTCTCTCTCTCTATCTATCTCTCTGTCTCTCTCTCTCTCCCTATAATGCTGTTTTATTCCACACCTTTATATCTGTGTTATTGCATGGTACTTCAAACCCAATACCATCTCTACAGTCTGGAGATTTTTAAGAATTTTTAGAATTTTCTCTTGAGAAAAAATCCTAAAAAATCTCCAGACTCCAGTGGGCTTTGAATTAAAATGCAGTAACAAATATAAAACAACCTAAATCAATAGATACTTCATCATAGTTAAAAATAGATTGTTATTGCACAGTCGGATTTCTACATTAGGTCTGTCATTGAGTCAAGTGGTTTGGTTTCGATTCCCTGCTTGTATGTAACCACTTGCCCAGCCTCTTTGGTTCTCTTCCGGTCCCCTGGGTTCCTCTCACAGCTAAAGACCCCTACACACAAACAAATTATTGAAATAAAATTGAAACATGTTAGTACTCAGATGACCAAGTTTGTGTTGAATGGATGTTAGACCCCATTTCTCTCTCTCTTAAGTCATGGTGAAGAATCATTCTTACCATGCCTGCCCCCACCGACTAATGTTTTCCCTTTTTTAGCCAGTGACCTACAGGGCTTAACTCATGCCCCCATTAACTTTTTACATTTTGATATCTTGATTAGAACCATTTGATAGAAGTCAATTAAATTTGTCTACATATTTTGGGTGGATCCTAATTGCCTATTCAGATTTGTTCAAATGATTTTCTGTTATCCCTTATGGGTGCTCTCAAGCACATTAAAAGGAAATATTTTGACCTGATTGGTTTCAACCTAAAACTGATAGGTACGTTTCTTGCATGGTACTCATACAGATTGGTTTAGATTAGGCTAGGTTCAGAGAGATTATTAAACTGACAACCTAACTGAACCTACTGATGGGCGATTAAAGCCTGTTGGGCTCTTGTTGATAAGGATGGAGAAATAATTGGGACCCTGGGGATGATCAACATGGCCTTTAAGTAAAACAAATTGTCTTGATGTATTGATCTATTTAATATTATATTTTTTTACAGATTTCATCCTGGCATATGAAGAAGCCATTGATAAAAAACCTAAATCATCAGAATCTAGAAATACTGAATGGAGAGAGAAATTTTTCAAAAATCTTAAGAAAGCTGGGCTGGAAATGGAAGAGGTAGGTTACCTCGAGATATTGTATCAACTATTTGATCGTTGGTGTTGGCAGAGAAAATTCCTCAGGATTCTTTAGCACTGTTTGTCCTAGTCAGTGGTCTGTAAAGGAAAAGTATTAAGTCAATCAGATGGTCTGTGTATACCATTAGCAGCTCAATAAAGATCACCTGAATTTGGAAATCAAAATTAGAGGAGGTTGTAGCAGGGAAAATTTCTCTCATAGCGCAAAATGGGCTGTCCATCCATTATGCCAACAAATTAAACATGCTGCTATCCCTAAAAATGAATCTACTGCCCTAGAAATCAAACATGCTATCCCTACAAAAACATCTACTGCCATAGGACAAAAAGGGCTTTTCATCTATCATGCCGACAAATTAAACTTGCTATCCCTACAAAAGAATCTACTGCCATAGCACAAACTGGGCTGTCCATCCATCATGCCAACAAATTAAGCATTTTATCCCTACAAAAGAATCTACTGCCATAGCACAAAAAGGGCTATTCATCTATCATGCCAACAAATTAAACATGCTATCCCTTCAAAACAATCTACTGCCATCCGAAATCAGATACTGTACATGATAATGAGGATGTGAAATAATAAGCAGTACTTCTCAGTCCAGCCAGAAGCAACGTACATGTGATCTCTATCACTGCCTTTAACCATATAATAAATAGCAGAATTTTACTCGGACTAATTGCTGTCACTGGGACTTTCAGCAAGGCCATTTATATTTATAGCAATGATCCATTTGTCTTGTTATGAATGAGATTTTTATATCAATACATTTATTGCTCTTGACATAATGACTGACATCTACTTATACGACTAAATACAAGTACTTTTGAAATATTTGCCAGTGTTTTCTAGCAGACAGTGCAACTCAACTACCCCAAAATCAGTGAACAGTGCACAATTACAACAATGGCAATCCAAAATAAGATTAAAATTATACCCTTTCTACTACCATGTGACACTTATTTAGACTTGTGTTTAAAATTGTCATCTGACAAAAAAAAGTATGTATAAGAGTACAGGAATGATTATTCTGGCATTTAATCAAACAAGGGGTAACAGGTTTGATCCTAGTGTGGACCAAGAAAGTTCCTTGGTAATTTCCATTCTAGTTTTCCCCTGTTAGTGATGCAGGATTGAGGGCAGGGCAAGAAAAAGCATCATATCATTTGGATACCTTTGGCAGCAGGTGAAGATCCCCTTAAATTAGGCTGTAGTGCAAACGCCATTCTATTTATTCATTCAGATTATTGATGAAAGTCGATCTTGTTAAAATTTTTTCCTTTATCTTTTAAGGAAGTACTGGAAAGTGAGAGAAAAATTATTAATTTTGTGAAAATCCACGCACCGTGGGAGGTGGCATGTGCTTATGCTGAAGATTTAGCTTTACAGGCCCCATTGCAGGTAATACCATACATTAATTAGTAATTGAAACCAATTAACATTATTACATTTGTACCAGTAGTCTTCTCATATTATGAAATTATCTTTCAGAAATCTATAAGAAATTTGTTAAATAACATGAATTAGAATATTTGTTTTGATGTAGCCAAGCGAAGTTCTGTAAAAATGACAATACACAGGCCAGCATCTAAAAAACCTTGGGCGATTGTCTAGAAAAATTAGACTTCAAATATGTGCCAGTTGTGGTTAAGCGATTGATCTAGTGTTATTATTAAAGCAGCTGATCGATATTCGGATTTTTCGCTGCTTAATCCACGCTAATATGTACTCAAATTGACTGTATAGCATTTGATAAACCAAACAAAACCACAGTTGGATTAAAAGAGACCCATCATATAAGGTTGAATCATTTTTGGACTGACATGCCTTTTACAGATTCAACATTCACAATATTGTAGTTCCTTAGTCTCTTCAATGACGATCAATGGTTTTAAGTATTCATGCATGTTGTTGTTAATTTTATCTTTAATATTAATAAACCATGTCTCATTGATTTGCAAAACTTAATAAAGGTTATAATCATTGGTGTAGATAAAATAACAACACCTGTTTCTTTACAGTATTATCAATAAATCTTTTCTAATAGCCATAGTTGAGATGGAACAATAATGGAATATCCGTTGTCTACACAATTGGCTTGTATGTAAATTGTCCTTCTATGTTAATCTGAAATTGACCAAGAAAAGGATTGAGCATAACAAACGGAAAAGACTCAAATCATTTGCAAGGACCCCTTAATACAGGGATTGATGTGTATCAGAGGCTGGGGAGTGAATCAGAAATCAGTGGGAGAAAATTTGATTAACGATGTCTGTCTACGTATAGAGTGTTGTTATTCATTTTCCAACTACCGACAGACCTGTCCTATTTGTTTCCTTGCAGACTTCCTTAATTATAGTAATGTTTTAAAACTTTATAATCGTGCAAGCTAATTATTCATAGAAACATAGGGTAGTAATGGACCAGACTTAAATCCACTAGAGATCTGCTACATCAAGATGTTGATTGCATGAAGAAATATCGGTCTGACTCATGATAGGTTGAAATTAAACATCTTGAACCAAAACAAATAAAGCAAATGAACTATTCATTTAAACATGAAATGGAGGGACTGTCAAAATGAATTTGAAAAATTATAATTTGGTTGTGTTTGGTGAAATTTATCAATAGTGTTATGTTTTATGATTTAAAAACGTGCAGGACTGGAAACAACGATTTTGGTTGTAGCTTATAAAATGTTAAGACACCAATCAACTAGATCCTGGCATTTTGAACTATGTGCCTGAGGTATTAAATAAATAGATTAGAAAAAAGACAAAATGACTGACACCAGATGGATTATTCTTCTTGACAATGTCAGTGACAGGTGTCTTATATCCAGTCTTGAAAATATGTTAAAAAAAAATATTTTTTTTGATGTCAAACTTATTTTTATTTTCAGCTTATGTGGCTAATTATAACCTTTCGCCAATGATTATAATATTTTAAATAAAAAGATTTAACATTTTTATCCAATGTTATAAATGTTATCTGTTTGGTGTCAAATTTAGTTTTATTTTCAGCTTATATATTTGTGGCTAATGTATATAACCTCTCCCCAATGGTTATATTAAAACAAAACAAAAAAACTCAACATTTTTATCCAATATTTCATTAGGTTGTGAATTCTGAGGTAAAGTAAAAACAAAATTCACAGCATGTTTCCCACTCCTCCTCCCCCCCATTTCTCTCGTCATTTCATCGTGTAGTTTATATTATGCTTCATGGTAGCAAATGAGCAGAAATGTAGTCTTTGTGCTTCAATTGGGTAATGTAACAGATAGTTGTATGAGTAATTTCAGGAAACAGAATTGGTCAATGTTTGCTTTAGTATAGATGAATATAGACTGGAAATGAAGACGTTTCTCCAAACTCTTAATGCATTATTTCAGAATTGATAAATATGAAAATCTAATTAATGTTTTTCAAGAACTATGCCACTTAGCATCTTACTTTACTATCCATATTTTCTCATGCGATGTCTGGAAATGGGTATTATAAACTGGCTTATGGAATAAGCAAATAATTCTCTGCTGTTTAAAATCTCTGGGTTTGTCTCAATTGCATGATGAATTATATGTAATATACATGTATATATATATAGGTGATAGGATGAATGGGCTTCACAATATTCTCTTTGGCTTTCTAACTAACTCTTGCTCCTTAAAAAAAAAACAAAACAAAGATATTTCAAAAAGTATTATTTAATTCCTTGAATTGCAGTGGTAAGATACATGGAGAACTTCAGTGCCAAAACAGAACTGTTATTGTGAATGGCTATTATATCAGTGATATGCAGATTGTGATTGATAGACACAAATATAATATCTAGTTTAGTAATAGATGGAATGAATATAACATCTAGATTTAATAGACAAATAGAATATAACATCAAGTTTGAATAGATGGAATGAATATAACATCTAGTTTAATAGACAGATTGAATATAACATCTAATTTAATAGACAGAATGAATATAACAGCTAGATTTAATAGACAGAATGAATATAACATCTAATGTTGATAGATGGAATGAATATAACATCTAGATTTGATAGATGGAATAAATATAAAATCTAAATTTAATAGACAATTAGATGGGATGAATATAACATCTAGATTTAAGAGACAAATAGATGGATTGAATATAACATCTAGTTTTAATAGATGGAATGAATATAACATGTAGATTTAATAGATGAATAGATAGATTGAATATAACATCTAGTTTTAATAGATGGAATGAATATAACATGTAGATTTAATAGACGAATAGAATATAACATCAAGTTCGAATAGATAGAATGAAAATAACATAAAGTTTTGATTGATGGAAAGAATAATACATCTAGTTTTAATAGATAGAATGAATATAACATGTAGTTTAATAATAGATGGAATGAATCTAGTTTTGATTAGATTGCCAGGAAGGTAACATAAAGGAAAATAGCATGAAAAAGACATTCATTAAATACATATAGAACTTTGACTTGATAGGAAAAAGATTCTGCACAACATGGATTACAAATTGCTATTTTTACTCATAAACTACAAATAATTGTTATTTATTGAAGATTGTATTTATATCATCTGCTCATTTAACTTTACATTTCTTTCAATTTATCTTTACAAGAAAAATGTACCTCATGTGATTTTCCTTGGCAGAATTGTTCAGTTGTTTTACTTATTTTTCCATGAGGTAACTTTTTGTGTGGGTTTAGTATTTGAACGAAAAAATGTAATATCTTAGATGGGAAGTAAATATAGATTTTCAAAATAAAGATTGTATGCTTTAAAGTTTAAAACAAGTTGCGGAAAGTTATACATGAGCAACTGGCTTCAGCTGACTGCCACTCAATTCGACCATTTTCAGTTGAAGCCAGTTGCTCTCAGTTGCTGGAACACCAGTTGCTCTCATTTGTAAGTTCGACATTTGTAATCCATGGTGGGCAGATTATGGATCTTTTCTACTTCTGTCTCTACTGTATACTATTATTATTATTATTATAAGTAACACAAACAGCTTCACATTATCATATGTTAAAAGCACAACAACATCAACACATCCTTGATAGGTATATGACTTTTGACTAGATCCCAGTTCGAATCCCATTCCAGTCGAGAAGAACCTTTACAATTGCCTTCATTTTTCATTGATGGTATCTGTGAAGCTGACAGGAAAGTGTAAATAGTCATTTGGATGGGACAATAATCCTAGGCTTACTCATGTACACATTAGCGTGCTCATAAAAGAATCCTTGACAGATGAAAATTATAAATAAATAAGCTACAGAGCCTACCATAGAAATAAAAATTACCTCAAGATGACCAAAATATTGTGTTGACGAGACAAACCTCATTCAATTCCATTTGATAGGAGCTAGGGTGGCTCAGTGAGCAACCAGGAGGTTCCATGTTCAATCATGGTAATGGCCAAGAAAGTACATCAGGATTTTCCGGCATGGTTCCTCCGTGTCTGTGACAAAGGACAGAGGGTCTGGCAAGGGACAATGTATAGTCCATTAGATGGGACAAAAACACGAGTTACGTGTACACATTGGTATGCATGTAAAATATCCCTTGGCAAATGGAAATCAATGTAAGAGTAGGTTGTAGCATTGCAGTCTGGGCAAAAATTCCCTCAACACACTGTATGACATTTGCTCGTCTTCATTAGCCTAGTCAAAGTAGAACATTTGATGGGTAAACAGTCATTAGTAGAGAATAAGAATATTCTTCCTCAGTATATGAAGGCTACATCCAATCAAAAGATAACCAGTTCTATTTCAATCCAGGATGAATATGTTGTAGACTTTGACACTTGACAATGTGAAGATGAATTTTACATTATTAACAAAAATATTAATAAAAAAATATTATCTTTAATTTCTGAATGTTTTCTAATTAATATTTGTATATAGCTTCCTATAGAAACATAAAACACATTTAATTCAGTTATATTTTTCTGCATGGTTTTGATCAAAATACCGGTAAATATAAACTTATTTGGTATTTCATGAGGTTTATTTACATTTTTCAGGCACATCAGAATCCAAGTGATAACTATTCAGAAAAGATATTAAGTTTTTTTCATATACCTAATATAATGAAACAAGATGTACCAAATAAGCCATTAGATTTTTACACCTGCAGATTTAAAAAATCGAAACTTGACAGGTAAATATTATCTTCCCTTTCTAATTTTTTTTCTTGTCTGTTGAGAAAGTGGGCCCTTTTTTCATCTCGCACCGAGTAAAGTTAAGTAAGAGAGGAATATTGAAATTGTCTCTGCCTGTAGTTAGTGTACTACCATCTCTCCTTCCGTTTCTTTTGGTTTTCGGAGCATATATCATATTACATAAATCATTCAAGCTTTGTGTCTCTTACTGTTAGAAATATCTCTGTTGTAAAAATTTTGTATTTTGGGGGATCACATTTGACGTAAATTTTTTGTATGCAATTATTATTCTGTAACACAGAGCACATCGCAGAAAACATTTAAAACATAGCATCAATGGTATGCCTTATACTGTTTGCTATACGCTTTATAACATGTACACTAGAAGTATTATGTTGTTGATCCCCAAGAGACTGAAAATCTTCCAAAAGATTCAGTCATCAATATGGACATCTTTTGGAAATGAAATGAAATAGGTTTAACGTCCTACTGCTCAGCTTCAACATGGCCTATGCCCGTTTTTATTAGTGCAATCAGAGCAGAACAGTATGACGCTAACTCCATTTTATTTTCAAAACATGTTCATGTTGATGACTTAATCTTCCTGTTTAAATTGGAACTGTTAGTAATTGCAGGAAATTAAGAATTCATCCCACAAAAAAAAACATTCAAACATATTGATTAGACGATGTGTTCTATTTAGTGACAAAAATGTACTTTTGTCCAATTATTTCACTAATGATGCCACTTTTTTTTTAGAATTTTGAATATTTTTCATTCATTACAATATCAGCAGATTTTAATCATTGAAGGGACCCAATTACAATTAATTACTACATGTAGTTATATTTTTCACTAGATTGGTCCAAAGAAAATAATAGAATAGAATATTTTCAGTTTATATAATGGAAGAATTGTTCATTCTTCATATTGTAATAATCAAGAACTTCTTATTAAAGCCCAAATGTGCCAGAAGGGCAACATTCATTCATTTAACCACATGTTAGTCCCAAAATGACCTAGTTTGTGTCAAGTGGAAGTTTAACCAAGAGTTCTCTCTCTCTCTCTCCCAGTTTCTGGTTAGCTCATAATCTCATTTTCTAGCACATTATCCCTATAGAAATAGATTTAGCTTGATGATTGATCATTGAAGCGATCATTCAGATTCCTAGCTGATACCCCCAATGGAGGCTAGGTCGCAGTTCTATTTCGGTATTTAATGCTAAAATGACAGTGATGTTAACTTTTGATAAATATTGTGGGACTCATTGTCCAAATGGCTGGCAAATCCTATTGATGCCAGAAAATAACTGATTTTGTCATATAAAATAAAAACACCAGTAAAATTCTGGTGTAACCTTCAACCTCAACTTTATCAACAAATATGATCATGCTGATTTATTGTGAATGTTTAGTAACCATTTCAGTTTCATTATAAATGAAAATAATAGGTTTGTATTATCGTTAACTGGTTGAATTTCATTGTTGTTTGTTCAATAAAGTTAAGATTTTTTAAAAATATTTGTTATTTATTTTGTTTTATTGTTTTGAATAAAATGACAAGACCCCTTTGATTTGAGACAAATAAAGTACTGATCATTGTTGATTTTATTGGATTTTTTATGTTGATATATTTCATGCAATGACCAGTTGTCTTCGTTAAAAGTTTAACATCTATAGATAAAGTCAGTGTTGATATATCACCGATTTTGTATTCCACTCTAAATACATTCAACTGAAATTTAATCAAACTTCGCCTAATCTTTCAAAACAAATATTCAATTGTGCATAGATCAACCTAAGTCAATGTTTTATTTTGATCTTCAAAGGTTATGAAAGTGAAAATAAAGAAAGTATTTATATTTGTTGAGAAATAGAGTTGATCATTTCTAAATCAAGTAACAAATATGTATGATTTCCAATCAAATTAATATTTGAACATTTCTTTACCACCTGCATAAAAAAGATTCTTCACTTGACTTAGATAATGTTGGAATTTTCCAGACAATAGGTGTTATGGGTGTTAAGTTATTTCCTTGTTCTTGTTTACAAGACTTATAAATATGTTCTTTTTATTAATGTTTTTAACAACTGATTTTAAATTAATGTTCATAATGACCAGTATTTATAACAAGATCTGATTTTGAAATGTACCATAGAAATCAATAACTGGTTTATTTATGGAAATAGAAAAAATGTGAAATATAATAGAATAAAGTTGGGTTTTATTGTCCTATTTTGCTGCACCAACTAGGCTAACGAGGAGGAACATGTAGTTCAGCATTAGATAATTTTGTCTGGACAGCAGATGTTTCCACCTGCTCTTCATCAAATTTCAAATGTCAAGGTTCTTTCACAGGCAGGGGGGCTGGATGGCTGTATCATAAAGTCTGTCATTGAGTCAACTGGGGTGTTTTCGATTCCCCGGTTCTAAGTGGCAAGGAGTAGGGTCGCCTGTCCAACCTTGTAGGTTTTCTCCAGGTCCTCCGTTTTTTTCCTACTGCTAAAGACCCCTATGCGCAAGAGAATTATTGAAATAAAAATTGAACCATGTGTTAGTCTCGAAATGGCCTAGTTTGTGTCCAGTGGACGTTTAACCCCATCTCTCTCTCTCTCTCTCTCTCTCCCTCATATTAAATGTAGAATGCCTAAATGTAGAATGCCGAGATTTGCCGAATGTGCCAGGCCCTCTGACCCCCTCCACTATCAAGGGGAAACTACTCTGGTTAGTGGGCCAGTGCCTCACTCACTGGGACAACATGGCTCCAAAAAGAAAAACAAATTAAATAGATGCTTATTTTAACAACACATCGGCATATATAGTTAGTGTTTTTAAGTTAGAATTTTGCAATTCTCTAATGCTATTGTTTAGAAGATATCGACCGCATTAGATTATTCATGTGCATGTATTTTGGTCTTGTGTGATCGATACAGTGAAAAAATTAACAGAAGTTTGAACCAGCTGGCATTATTTTCAAATTTACTTCAGACAGAAATACCCATGGTACTATGTAAATAATTTATATGATATTATTTCAGGTTTTTAGGTAGTGATGATCACATCTCATTTTTCTCCAATACTCAACGAAGTTTTATAGTATGGGAGATCCTGTGTTCAGCTACATACGGCAAGAAGAAGAAAGCAGAAGTTGGCGTAGAAAGACTTTTAGAAGAGGATATTCTTACTGCTGCCTACAACTTACATGATGTAAGATAATTTCACTGTAATAGCTACACATGACATTTTTCTTATTTTTTTTTTTTATATACGCCCACATTTTCATGTGGACGTATTATGCCGTCGCCCCTGTCCGGACGTCCGTCCGTCCGTCCACAATTGTTTGTGGACTCTCTACAGGTCACAATTCTTATCCGATTTTGACGAAACTTAAAATATAGGTTTATCCCCAAAAGATCTCGGCTGCTTTTGATATTGGCATGTATCGGATCGAAACTTCATGGATTATGGCCCCTGATTGTACGAAAAATCACGTTTTTAGCTTGTGGACCCTATAGAGGTCACAATTTTTATCCGATTTTTTTAAAACTTAAAATGTAAGTTTATAACCCAAAGATCTCAGTTCCTTTCGATAATCGCGCATATCGGACCGTAACTTCCTGAATTATGGCCCCTGATTGAACGAAAAATCGCGTTTTTAGCTTGTGGACCCTATAGAGGTCATAATTTTTATTCGATTTAAAAAACCGTATTATTATATCACCGTTACACCCTAAGGAAGGTTGAGTTCGAATTTCGTGGAAATCAGCCCAAAATTGACAGCAAAATGGCCGCCATTCGTTCTCCAATAGCGTAAAAATATGGTATATCAAGGTTGTGGACCCTATAGAGGTCACAATTTTTATCCGATTTTGTTGAAAATTGAAATGTAAGTTTATAACCCAAAGATCTCGGTTCCTTTCGATATTTGCACATATCGGATTGTAACTTCCTGAATTATGGCCCCTGATTGTACAAAAAATCACGTTTTTAGCTTGTGGACCCTATAGAGGTCATAATTTTTATCCGATTTAAAAAACCATATTGTTATATCACCGTTACACCCTAAGGAAGGGTGAGTTTGAATTTCGTGAAAATCGGCCCAAAATTGACAGACAAAATGGCCGCCTTTCGTTCTCAAATAGCGTAAAAATATGGTATATCCAGGTTGTGGACCCTATAGAGGTCACAATTTTTATCCGATTTTTTTGAAACTTGAAATGTAAGTTTATAACCCAAAGATCTCGGTTCCTTTCTATATTTGCGCATATCGGACCGTAACTTCCTGAATTATGGCCCCTGATTGTACGAAAAATCGCGTTTTTAGCTTGTGGACCCTATAGAGGTCATAATTTGTATCCGATTTAAAAAAACGTATTATTATATCACCGTTACACCCTAAGGAAGGTTGAGTTCGAATTTCGTGAAAATCGGCCCAAAATTGACAGACAAAATGGCCGCCGTTCGTTCTCAAATAGCGTAAAAATATGGTATATCAAGGTTGTGGACCCTATAGAGGTCACAATTTTTATCCGATTTTGTTGAAACTTGAAATGTAAGTTTATAACCCAAAGATCTCAGTTCCTTTCGATATTCGCGCATATCGGACCGTAACTTCCTGAATTATGGCCCCTGATTGTACGGAAAATCATGTTTTTAGCTTGTGGACCCTATAGAGGTCATAATTTTTATCCGATTTAAAAAATCGTATTATTATATCACCATTACACCCTAAGGACGGCTGAGTTCGAATTTCGTGAAATTCAGCCCAAAACTGACAGACTTAATGGCCGCCCTTCGTTCTCAAATAACGTAAAAAATATGGTATATCAAGGTTGTGGACCCTATAGAGGTCACAATTTTTATCCGATTTTGTTGAAACTTGAAATGTAAGTTTATAACCTAAAGATCTCCGTTCCTTTCGATATTTGCGCATATCGGACCATAACTTTCTGAATTATGGCCCCTGATTGTACGAAAAATCGCGAATTTAGCTTGTGGACCATAAAGAGGTCATAATTTTTATTCGATTTAAAAAACCGTATTATTATATCCCCGTTACACCCTAAGGAAGGTTGAGTTCGAATTTCGTGGAAATCAGCCCAAAATTGACAGCAAAATGGCCGCCATTCGTTCTCCAATAGCGTAAAAATATGGTATATCAAGGTTGTGGACCCTATAGAGGTCACAATTTTTATCCGATTTTGTTGAAAATTGAAATGTAAGTTTATAACCCAAAGATCTCGGTTCCTTTCGATATTTGCACATATCGGATTGTAACTTCCTGAATTATGGCCCCTGATTGTACAAAAAATCACGTTTTTAGCTTGTGGACCCTATAGAGGTCATAATTTTTATCCGATTTAAAAAACCATATTGTTATATCACCGTTACACCCTAAGGAAGGGTGAGTTTGAATTTCGTGAAAATCGGCCCAAAATTGACAGACAAAATGGCCGCCTTTCGTTCTCAAATAGCGTAAAAATATGGTATATCCAGGTTGTGGACCCTATAGAGGTCACAATTTTTATCCGATTTTTTTGAAACTTGAAATGTAAGTTTATAACCCAAAGATCTCGGTTCCTTTCTATATTTGCGCATATCGGACCGTAACTTCCTGAATTATGGCCCCTGATTGTACGAAAAATCACGTTTTTAGCTTGTGGACCCTATAGAGGTCATAATTTGTATCCGATTTAAAAAAACGTATTATTATATCACCGTTACACCCTAAGGAAGGTTGAGTTCGAATTTCGTGAAAATCGGCCCAAAATTGACAGACAAAATGGCCGCCGTTCGTTCTCAAATAGCGTAAAAATATGGTATATCAAGGTTGTGGACCCTATAGAGGTCACAATTTTTATCCGATTTTGTTGAAACTTGAAATGTAAGTTTATAACCCAAAGATCTCAGTTCCTTTCGATATTCGCGCATATCGGACCGTAACTTCCTGAATTATGGCCCCTGATTGTACGGAAAATCATGTTTTTAGCTTGTGGACCCTATAGAGGTCATAATTTTTATCCGATTTAAAAAATCGTATTATTATATCACCATTACACCCTAAGGACGGCTGAGTTCGAATTTCGTGAAATTCAGCCCAAAACTGACAGACTTAATGGCCGCCCTTCGTTCTCAAATAACGTAAAAAATATGGTATATCAAGGTTGTGGACCCTATAGAGGTCACAATTTTTATCCGATTTTGTTGAAACTTGAAATGTAAGTTTATAACCTAAAGATCTCCGTTCCTTTCGATATTTGCGCATATCGGACCATAACTTTCTGAATTATGGCCCCTGATTGTACGAAAAATCGCGAATTTAGCTTGTGGACCATAAAGAGGTCATAATTTTTATCCGATTTAAAAAAAATGTATTAACACAAAGATCTCGGTTCCTTTCAATATTCGCGCATATCGGACCTTAACTTCATGAATTATGCCCCCTGATTGTACGCAAAAACGCGTTTTTTGGCTTGTGGACCCTATAGAGGTCATAATTTTTATCCGATTTAAAAAAACGTATTATTATATCACCGTTACACCCTAAGGACGACTGAGTTCGAATTTTGTGAAAATCGGCCCAAAATGGCCGCCGTTCGTTCTCAAATAGCGTAAAGATATGGTATATCAAGGTTGTGGACCCTATAGAGGTCACAATTTTTATCTGATTTTGGTGAAACTTGAAATGTAAGTTTATAACCCAAAGATCTCGGATCTTTTCGATATTCACGCATATCGGACCGTAACTTCCTGAATTATGGCCCCTGATTTTATGAAAAATCGAGTTTTTAGCTTGTGGACCCTATAGAGGTCATAATTTTTATCCGATTTAAAAAAACTTATTATTATATGACCGTTACACCCTAAGGACGACTGAGTTCGAATTTCGTGAAAATCGGCCCAAAATTGACAGACAAAATGGCTGCCATTCGTTCTCAAATAGCGAAAAAATATGGTATATCAAGGTTGTGGACCCTATAGAGGTCACAAATTTTATCCGATTTTGTTGAAACTTGAAATGTAAGTTTATAACACAAAGATCTCAGTTCCTTTCGATATTTGCGCATATGGAATCGTAATTTCCTGAATTATGGCCCTTGAATGTAGGAAAAATCACTTTCTTGTTAGCTTGTTCTCTATCCATCTCTCGAAAATGTGGGCGTATCCTGCCTGGCAGCCGCTGGTTTTTGTATTTAAGGGACTTGAGTCTTCTTGTACAAGAAATGAGACTGAGAAACAAATTTTTATAAGAATTTTATCTATTAGGACTCTGTTGAAAGTAATCAGCAAAAATCATCTGTTTCTGTAAAATTAACATATATGTTACTTAAATAACTTCAGTATGTACTAAATGATTATAGTAAAATTTGTATACAATGTTTGAGAAAAAAATATTACAATCTTTGAAAATTCTGAGATTACGGTCTTCATATTTGTAGGCATGCACAACCTATAAAATGACAATTATTTTAAAACATTTGTCTACAGGGTGGTTATGAACTACCAAGACATTCATATGATCCAGAAACACTGAATAAAAGACAAGTTCTTCATCATTACTGGGCTAGATGGGGCTGTTGGTATAAATATCAACCCCTTGACCATATAAGGGAATATTTTGGTGAAAAAATTGGTATATACTTTGCCTGGTTAGGTGAGTAGAGAACTATACTTTGTATAAATATCTTTTTCATTTGTTATTCTGTGCAGAAAAAAAGATTATGGGAGGGATATTAAAATTCCTTCAATCCAGGTTTTATATTTACAAAACTTTGTGAACATACCAACGAATTATAATAGTTAATAGATATTTTTCATTAAAACAAATTTATATTTATTTATCAATCAAGAATACCTGATACTGTTTGTTGTTTATTCTAACGATTTTTCTGGCATGATTGCTCAGTGATTTAAGCGCTAGCTCACTGGTCGACAAAGTCACTCTAGATTTACGAATATGCTTTTCCCTAATCAATTGTGCAGGACAAAGGGCCCGGCAAAAAATGTGTCTGATTGTTCAATGCAACAAAAAAGGGAGGTCCCTGAATACCGTTGGTAGTACGTAAAAGATCCCCTTACAGTTGAGAATCAAAATAAGAGCAGGCGATAACTCCTCTGTCAAAGCTAAATTTCCATCATAACACAATAGATGGCTTATGCCTGTCTTCTTTAGCTTGATTGGTGCAGAATTTCCATTTACTTGCTTGAATTAAATAGTGATAGGGTTTGTACACAGGGCAGGTTATGCGTAATCTTTCTAGAACACCTGATACCTCATCCCATATATTTGCTGTACTTTATAGATGGGTCAGAATTTCCATTTACTTGCTTGAATTAAATAGTGATAGGGTTTGTACACAGGGCAGGTTATGCGTAATCTTTGTAGAACACCTGATACCTCATCCCATATATTTGCTGTACTTTTATCTTTATACATGGTATAATTTGTATGTTTTCAGGTTTTTATACTGCCTGGTTATTACCAGCATCTATAGTGGGTGTACTTGTATTTATATATGGTATTGTAACTGTTGGTAGTAATAAACCTGCGTAAGTACACATCCTTCACCGGCCAAGGTTTAAAGATACATTATGTAAGATTTAGATAAAGAACTAGCCATTCTTGCTATAATAGTTCGAAAGTAGATGATGTAAAATGAATAATTTAAAAATTTCATTCAAATTACTCTATTGCAAGCGAAGATATAAGCCTTTGAAGTTTTGACAGACGTGTGCAATAATTTCAACCACGGTACTGGTTGATTGAAGCTAAGTCTCGGTCCTCCATATTTGATTAAATCAAAGTATCGCTGAACCATTCTAATCTATTTAATATCGGAGAAATCTGATGCCATCGAGAGTTGATTAAGGCCTGGATCAGTTAATTAATGTCTAATTAATACTTTTGAAAACATTTCAGGCCTAAAGAAAGACCTACAATAGGCCGATTTAGCTCTTGCAGAATGCATGTTTTAGGAGGGATATTGAAACAGGCTCCTTCTGTACTTCTGTCATGATATTGTTCCAGGAGCATTTCACACACGCTGTTCACGATATCTTTATCAAATTTTGTACACACATCAACATATTATAGTATTTGTGCCTTTTGCTAATTAGATATTTCTCAGATTTACTCATTTCTGTGTTTCAATGAAAACAAATTTGACTTAGTTTTTGGTGTACCTTGGGCAGGAAATGTTGGTGACAGTCTTCTTGATTTAATTTATTCAAATATTGAAAGGATTGAAGGGGAGACATAACTCTCCTTGGAAATTAGAATTCATATAAGTGCTTACTCTTGGGAATATTGTAGTACCTGTAATTAATATTTTATTCAATTCACTGTAATATAATTCAATGTATATTGTAGAAGTGTGTGTGTGTGAAATAGCTTATTTAATGTCTGCTTCCACAGAAGTGATATCGCCGACATATGAAATGAAATGTTTTTGTATATTGTAAAAGAAGTGAAATGTTTTTGTATATTATTGAAGATATGAAATGTTTTTGTATATTGTAGAAGTGAAATCTGTGATAGTGGTGAGTCGTATAAGATGTGTCCACTCTGTGATGAAGATATTGGTTGTGAATATTGGTATTTATCAGATGTATGTCTGTTTGTTAGAATAGCTTATTTATTTGATCATCCGGGTACAGTGTTTTACGCTATATTCGTCTCTTTTTGGGGTAAGTAGAATTTTTTTTTATTATCATTCAATTTACTGAAAGTTAAGACTATGCTGAATGCTACTTGCAACAAAAGTTATCATTGGTTAATAATTTAGTCTAAGATTATAGGCAAGAATTCTGTAATTCAGTATTTTATGAAAAAGAATTGATATAAACAGAAATGACTTCAAATCACTCAAATTTTCAGCATTTAAAATTTTATAAATTTGACACAAAATAAATTTAGGAGTATTAAATTAATGCTGAACTACAATTATTACAATAACTTGTGACCTGGGTGTTGGTGTAAGGGAGGTAACTCCAAGGAGACTAAAGGGGAGATAATTGAATGTAACAGATATTTAAATAAATGTTTCAGCTGTAACATTTCTGGAATACTGGAAAAGAAAGAATGCCAGTTTAGCTCATCATTGGGATGTTTTAGATTTAGAAGATGAAGAGGTAGGTCAGATTAATTATACTAGTTAGGCTTGACAGGCTCAAACTATGGCCTTAAAATCTTGGAGGCCTCCGGTCAAGGTGTACAATATTTTTGACCAAGTCATATAGGCCTTTCTTACATGTACTTTCCTAAACACCGAGTACCATTCTCAGCTCTACTCAATTTTGTTTTTAAAAAACTCTTCCATCTGGGGCTGGGGGTGGGACAGGCCTCACATGCGGAATAGCATAGAGTCCTTCTTCATCTAAATTCGGCACTGTATTTAAGGGTCTGATAAAACAGGATCTGATTAAGGTATTTCTGTCAAAATATTCTCTGACAAAAAAAAGTTAATAAACTTGGGTATCAAGTCTACCAAAGGTATGTTAATTAGACCCTCTTAATATCAAGCATTTTGAATAAAAAAAATAAAAAAATAATTTTTTTTCAAATTTCAGGAACGTCCTCGTACAGAATACGCAGCCAAAGCTCCAGAATGGAAGGAGAATCCTGTTACTGGGATAAGGGAGCCTTATTTTAACCCCAGACAAAGGATACCCAGGATATTGTCGGGCATGGCTGTTATTGTTATTATGGTAAATATTCAGTCATAGATTTCAATTCAAACGAAAGGAATTTTTTTTACATATGTGGGACTGGGGTGCTAGATCATAGTATTTTCTTGTATTTAAATGTCCTCTCGTCATCATATTTACCTAAGTATATTCCTGATTATTCAAGAATTTTATTCTTGTTATATTTTTGTTGTCTTTCATTATAATCGTTCATGGATTTATTTTTCTCTTTTTGTTCTCAGATGTTCCTAGTTATTATATTTATCATTGCCGTAATTATGTATCGTGTTTTGGTTAGCATACCATTATTTGAAAACAAAGACTTACGACCTAAAGCATCCATTATTGCCAGTTTATCAGCTGCTATTGTGAATTTAATTATAATTATGGCACTTGGCAGAGTTTACGAGAAATTAGCTTTAAAATTAACACAATGGGGTAAGTACCAATATGTATTTAAAATATATATCTGGGTAAATGCATTTGTTCTCCGCCATTTCAGATATATTTGAAATTTTAGAAATGCTGTCAATGTTTGCTGTTGTTTTTTTTCAAGAATTAAAATTTTAGTTTAAGAATTATGCTGTTCATGAGTTACTGAAAAATTAAACTTTTACTTATTTAAGAATCAAAATGCTGTTAGTTTTTTAATGATGAAATTTAAGAATTAAAATATAATAAGTTATTTAAGAATTAAAATATAGTTAGTTATTTAAGAATTATAAGATACTGTTTGTTATTAAAAGGTTACTGAAATACTTTCCTCCATTTATTTTTCAGAAATGCATAGAACTCAGTCAGAGTTTGAAGATCAGTTGACATTTAAAGTATTTATTTTCCAGTTTGTCAACTTTTATTCTTCCATTATTTATGTTGCTTTTTTTAAAGGAAAGTAAGTAATATCTGTTATATTTTACGCCTGGTTACATTCACAATATTATACTAAACATTTTAATATTATATGCATACCTTTGCAAATAAAGTAGGTTGGGTGACCAGTGACCAATTGAATTAACTCATGCACTTTAGATTGTAAGGTCTGTCATTGAGTCAAATGGCGTGGTTTCAATTCCCAGCTTGCATGTGACAAGAAATGTGGTCCACTGTCCAATGTTGTGGGTTTTCTACACTGCTAAAAACTCCTACGTGAATTATTGAAGTAAAATTGAACCATGTGTTTGTACCGAAATGACCTAGTTTATGACATTAAATCCAATTTTTCTCTCTCACCCTTTGCAAAACTCCATTCTGTAAAGCAATTATGAACAAATTTGATCCACAAATGATGTTAATATGTTGCATGTCATTAAGCAAGTTTCAGTAGTGTGTTTATCCTATAGTCTATTGTTCATCTAATTGTTTATGACTGTTTTACTACCAGAATATATGCTGTTTTTATTTATTTAGGTTTGTAGGTTATCCTGGTCATTACAACAGATTCTTTGGTTTAAGAAGTGAAGAGGTAAATAAAATGCATATCGTCAGTTTGAAATTTCATGAAATAAAATGCATATCATCAGTTTGAAATTTCATTAAATAAAATAGCATTTCACCAGTTTGAAATTTCATTAAATAAAATAGCATATCATCTGATTGAAATTTCATTCAATACAATGCATATCAGCAGTTTGAAATTTCATTAAATGAAATACCATATCGTTGGTGAAGTGTCAAAAGGGTGTATCTAAGAATTTCTAAAGATTAAGAAATAGAACCTTTTGCATTTAAAAATTTCCACAAATCAAGATACAACATTTGGACACATGATACCCAGAACAGTTCTAATTGGCATAGAGATACACAGCTCAGACAGAAATGTGCATATTAATTGGGAGATTTTAAAAATGCAGAAAAGGGTATTTGACTAATTCCCCGAGATACACCCTTTTGACACTTCACCGATGATATCATCAGTTTGAAACTTCATTAAATAGAATAGAATATCTTTATTTGATACTTCATTCAATAGCTTTATGGACTTAATTTAATTTAGAGAGCCACTGTGGTTCAGTAATTAATGTGTTGATTTGATAACCAGGTCATACCGTGTTCAATCCATTGTTGGCCGATAAAGTTTCTAGAGATTTTCCGATATGGTTTCCCCCTAGTGAGTGGGGCATGAAAGAGGGCCAGGCAAGGAACAGCATTTAGTTGTGTGGATGGGACAAAAAAAGACAAGATCCTAGATACATGATGGTGTGCATGTAAAAGAACTCTTGACTGTTGGAATTCAAAATTTCTCTCATAGCATACTGCATGGTATTTGCCATCTTCTTTAGCTGGTGTCAGAAAGTAGGATGTTAAACTCCATTTTATATCATGGAATAGTATCACATTGAAAAAGCAAGGCCTATTTCTCCTGAATGAAACTTCTTATAATTTTGGAAAGAATCATATATCTACTTCATGTGTAGTCTATATTATCTGGATTAATTTTAAGCTATAATATTATTCAGTGTAATAATGGAGGTTGTTTAATTGAGTTAGCTCAACAATTGGCTGTTATTATGATTGGTAAACAGATGATTAATAATGCTCAAGAAGTTATTGTTCCGTAAGTTATATTGTCATGCTGTTAGACAAATAATTGTTTCATAAAAGTTTTTACGAAAAATAATTGTTTCATATGTTATATACAGCACAAAAACAAAAAATAATTGTTCTGTAAGTTATATTTCCATACTCCATACAGTAAGACCATGATTGTTCCATTAGTTATATATCCATAGTCAGTATCACAAGAAATTATTGTTCTGTATACTCATACAGTAAGACAAATGATTGTTCCATCAGTGATATATCCTTACAGTGAGTATCACAAGAAATTGTTGTTCTTTCCAGAAAAGCCAAATCTTTATGGCATCGTTTCCGTGTAAAGATAGATAAAAGTGTTCCTAGAATGAGATGGGAAGATGATTTTGAACTGATAGAAAATGAAGGACTATTCCAGGAATACCTGGAAATGGGTATGTATTTCTTCATCTCGTTTACATTTACATGAATATCTTAATCCGAACAATGATATAACAACAGATGCCAATCTGTCATACTATACACCTTACAGAAAATTTGCTTCATGTGGGACTTTTCTTAGAACAAATGTTTACTTCCATCATTTTACTTTGGTTGTACAGTTGAATATTATTTATGTGCTGTCATCTAAATTTTCTTAATAACAGCTCTGGTACACCTGTCTTAGATGGGGGTGTTGGGTGGCCGAATGGTTAACGTGTGCACGTTTGATCACTTGGTCTGTCATTGAGTCAAGTGGCATGGTTTTGAATCCCCGCTTGTACGTGATAAGGAGTAGGATTGCCTGTTCAATCTTGTGGGTGTTCTCTGGGTCCACCAGTTTCCTCCAACTGCTATACACCGATACCTGCAAACATATTATTGAAATTATGAGAGATACTATGCAATCACAATCCTGTCTTTTGTTCAACTTGCATTTTTGTTACCAATTTATTAGATTAACGTTTAAAAAAAAAAGTGATTAATTGTTTGGGGGTTTTTTTCTTCAGTATTACAGTTTGGTTTTATCACAATATTTGTTGCTGCTTTTCCACTAGCTCCTTTATTTGCTCTGCTTAATAATTGGGTTGAAATTCGACTGGATGCTTCGAAATTTGTTTCTGAAACACGGCGTCCTGTAGCAGAGCGAGCCAAAAATATTGGTGTATGGTACACCATTTTAGATTCTTTAGCCCAGTTAGCTGTTATTAGTAATGTAAGTATAAAGCATTGTATTTAAATACGTATTAATGCAGTGATCATGACTTCCATTCTGATTTCAAGCTGAAAGCGTTGAACACTTCGCTATATATCATTCTTGTAAAACTGTCAGTTCAGTTGCTAATGTCAGTGGGTGGGAGTACAGTGCTCACCCAAACATTCTGTCAATCACAGAAATTCAGGTAATCATGGCCATGTCAATTCCACTAAACACTTTGAACATAGGGGTCAAATTGATGCAAGAATCTTCAAATCTTATATTCCAATCTATAGTACAAAGAATCTCACTAATCACTAATATTATCAATATTCATATGTTTTGAGGAAGCGGAAAATAATATTTTGGTGTCTGGTTATATTAGTGCAAAAATATGATGCAAAAATAGGCACCTGAACTTGAGTTTTCACATCACTCCCACCTTAATAGTGTCTAATGTTATTTGGGCAAAAAGAACGATTAGCAATGAAATTCAGATACTTCTTTTGACAAAATGTATCTCAAAATTAATGTTATTAATTATTGCACTTACAAAATTTTGCTTTAATTTCATGTATACAAAATGATCTACACCAATTAAATGAAATAAAATTTTGTTTTTTCCAGTCATTTTTAATCGCCTTTACATCTGAGTTTTTACCTCGTTTATTATATCAATATGAGTATAACTGGGACTTAACAGGTTATACTAACTTTACACTTGCTCAAGCGCCAAATGGTACTCTATCACAGCCTTGCAGGTAAAATATAACAATATTACTTTAATCATTTAGAGGCATTTAGTAACTGGATAGAGTAATAAACTAGTATAACACATACTTATTGAAAACAACTTTTTATATATTTTGGCAAAGTTTTGATGAGTATGCTCTGAACGTTATCAGATAGGAATACGTTATAGTTTAATACCTCTTTATTGCTTAGTTATTATTGCATTTTGACTGGGGAGTGGCGGGTTGCACTGGCTGATAACCAGATGGTCTTTGGTTCCAAAGACTACATGGGGTGCAGACTACAGAGAAGGATGGATGTAAGAATAGGGATAATTTTTATATAAAATGTATTTTTTTATATAGATATAAAGCCTTCAGAGATGAGACTGGTCATTATACAATATTCTACTGGCGTCTTCTGGCTATTAGACTAGGATTTGTCATAATATTCGAGGTCAGTACATTAAAAAGGATTAAAGAGATGCCCATTAGAAAGATCTTCCCCAACACTTTTAAGAGGCACTGCTTGTTTATGTCATCTGCAGAGGATCCTAAATGTTACAAAATTTCCAAGTAACCATACTGAACGGAATTAATTCTAACGGATATTCATTTTAGATATTCAACTTCCATACTATTGCAAACAAATCATTAGTGGTTTTAAACAATTTTTTCTCACTAGACAAAATTGTTTGTTTTTAAATGTGAGAATCTGCTTTTTTGATCAATTGCTTAAGTAAGGATGAAAAGCTACGACAAATTATCTTTTAGTTTGATGAGCGGACAAACATGGTTGTAATTGTATGATATATTTCAGCATGTGGTGTTTGGTGTATGTAGATTAATAGATTTATTGGTACCGGATGTACCAGAAACATTAGAATTAAAGATAAAACGAGAAAGATACCTGGCTAAACAAGCTTTAGCAGATACAGAAACTATGATGATGGTAAGTATAATAGGACATGCTTGTTGGGTTTCAGCCATTGCTCCAAGATTCTTTTCTACCATTTGTAGCTTAGTCAGAATTATTGTTCCATTTGGATATTGAGTACGGATGCATAGCATGCACCGGTAGCCATGGTCGATCAGAGAGTATTGCATTGACTCTCCAACCTGGTTCAATCCCTGTGATGGCTGAGAACTAGCTCATCAATTTTTAGACTTGTTTCCCCTTGTCATTGGTTTAGGATGGAGACTCACCAACTAGCTAGTCCAATCCCGGTGAAGGCTGAGAACGTAACTCAACGAATTTTAGCTAGGATGTAGCGTCTGGCAAGGAAAGCCTCTAGTTATTTGGATGTGACAAAAAAAAAGTGGTTTCCTGTGTATACCATTGACGACATGTTAAAGATCCCCCGACTGGAGAATAGGCTTGTCTGTGATGTCACCGCGGTGGAAGCGGACGTAAAATACAACTAACACACACACAGAATAGGTTGTATCATTGCTGTCATGGCACAGTGCATAGTTATGCCTGTCTTCTTTAGCTCTGTTGGTGTAGAAAAGTAAGACTGTGGCAGTGTAAACTTCCAAAGACTGGACAGAAACTGACAGTTAAACACAGTAGAAAGCCGAAGGTTGTTTGTTACCTGCCTAGAATAGACTTGTATAGATCAATACCATACTTTAATTGGGAAAAGATTATGTATTATACTATATATTGTGTAATATTTTTCTAGATGTTTGATGAGTTTGGTGAACAGGTATATAATATGACTAATACATTTATAATAGAATTAACATAGTCTTAATTCTCACTTTGTTCTAAAATAATAACATCATAATTTAGTATAGAATATTTTTATGATCTTACCAGTAGCCTACTCCATTTAATTTATAGATTGTGAATAGATCCCCTCCCTCCCCTGATTATTACATAGATTTAAACTGTCATATTACAAGTAATATAATTTATTGCTTCAATTTAAATACTATAGTTCAGAATACAATATTTTATTACAAACCATTTCAAATACCTTTTATCTTAGAAACCATTTGAAATACCATGTATCTAAGAAACCATTTATCGGAGAAATACCATTTATTAGAGAAATACCATTTATTGGAGAAATACCATGTATTGGAGAAATACCATTTATGGGAAAAATACCATTTATCTTACAAATTATTTGAACTACTGTTTATCTTACAAACCTTTTGAATTACCATTTATCTTACAAATTATTTGAATTACCATTTATCTTAGAAACCGTTTGAAGTACCATTTATCTTACAAACCGTTTGAAGTACCATTTATCTTACAAACTGTTTGAAGTACCATTTATCTTACAAACCGTTTGAAGTACCATTTCTCTTAGAAACCGTTTGAAGTACCATTTATCTTACAAATCATTTGAAATACCACTTTAATCACAAATCATTTGAAATACCACTTTTATCACAAATCATTTGAAATACCATTTTTATCACAAATCATTTGAAGTACCATTTTTATCACAAATCATTTGAAATATGATATGATATTTAGATATGATATTTTGCTACACATTATTAAGTAGTTTTTGTTAGCTTACTTAGAATATTAGAATTTTTTAATTATTAGAACAGGGTTTATTCAAATTTCTTGATACCATTTATTTTAATATCATTTAATTTGTTGATTTCATGAGCATATGTTTATAACCGTAACCCCAAACACAGAAATTTGCTAAATTGTACCGGATCATAGCAAATATTTTACCTGGTACCAGTAATAGAAAAATTTTGCATTTTTTAACCTTGATAAAACTCATCAATAATTTTACTAATAAGCACAATAATACTTATATTAACTGCTTTGTTTTAAGTTAACAGAGCACATAGTATGATTTTCAGTTTGAGGGGACCACCTTTGCCTTCTGATTTGGATGGTAATTGATTGAAGCATGTCATATCTCAATAATTTATACTACAGGATCAGAATTAATTATTAGTTATAAGGGTAGTAAACAAATAATTTTCCAAAAAAATGATCATAAAGCAGATTGTAGAACAGTTACTATATATTATGAGTAATGGTTTATTTAGAATAAACATAGTTGGGTTGAGAGGTTTATACATATGATATATTTTACAACAAATAGCCACAGTAAAGACTTTTATTGTATATGACCCAGTCAGATGTTAATGTCTCGGAGTAAAAGTTTGCTCAGTTGATTTAACAGAAATAAATTGTAATATAATGATTTATAATCTGTTTATTACAGCTGACGAAAGAAGGTGATGAAGATGAAGGTACTGGTGATGTCAATCTTAAAGTTCCAGAAACAACCACATAACATTCATCTTAATTATTTATCCGACATTTTCTTCTTTGACTATTGTCCTTCTAGTCTTCATTAATAAACACTGCTCTAATTTTCATGATTTCTGAAATTAGTTTGACCCCCCAGAAAATGTTGGAGAGTTGGGATAGTTCAGTTAATAATGATTGTATCACAGGAAACCAGGGTGTTTCAGTCAGATTTGCCTGTTCGCAAAAGTAATTGGTATTCTTGATTTAATTTATAGATGGTCCATTGCTAGTTACAATGCTGACTATATTAAAGTTTGTAGACACGATACACGATTTTTAGTATAATGGCAACAACACATTCATGAAATCTTGCAAAATTAACCTTCCCAATTTGTTATTCCTATGATAACATATTTATGAGACGTGAGCAATATGAAGTCATACCCAAGGAATGTATTTAATGCATTTATTTTGTTCTCTTTTAATTTTTGTTTTTGTTTTTTTGACTGTTTTGAAATCCATATTTCAAAGAATCTTAATAATTTGTTAAATGTGTTTTTGAATTTATTTTCTTTTATTTCTATTTTGTAAGCTTTATCCATTTCTGTTAATTTTATGATATAATTTCTGTTAATCTTATAATTTGTGTTAATATCACCTTGCCATTTGTATTAATACCTTATCGTTTGTGTTAATATTATAATATGTTCAAATTATTATATCTGTTAATATAATATTATTATATCTGTTAATAAAATATTATTTCTGTTTTGTGATAATTTCTGAAACTTGCACCTTTTTTTTTTAATTTCATCTCACTGTTACCAAAACAAATAATCAGTATTATTTTATCTTATTTTATTATATTTAGTTATTTGAGATCTTGGTAGGAGGGTTCATATATATATTTTCTTTTTTAAGTAAGTGAGAAACTGACATTTGGTTGTCTATTTGTTTGATAAAATGTTAAATTAAGAACAAAATTGGTATAATGTGTGAATATAAATGAAGGCATTTTTTAATAAGTGATTGCTTTGTTAAGACTGTGAGAGAAACGGTCCATAACATGGCTCCTGTTTTGGTAATATATGACAGCCTTGACTGATTTATTGTGAAATTGAATGGCTGGCTAATTTATATCTCTTTCAAATTAAGGTAGAAGATAGTGTTAAAAGTTGACAAATTCTTTGAAAAAAAAAAGTTGAAATAAATGAATACATGTATGTGAAAACTTGAACAATGGGCAACATTTTGAAGTTAGATCCCTGATCCATAGTCCACTGTATTTGTTATTAGTTGTGTACAGATGTCAACATGCTTTATTAAATATCAATGCTTGCATGTATATTATGTTTATATATTTACATGTATATATAATAAATATTTTGAACATAATAATCTTAATTCATTTGTACTTATTATCAATATGATATTCAAGCACTTAAATCTACCTGAACTTTCAGCTAACATTTATGGGTAAGGAATTTACTTTGTAGAATAATGATATTCATTGATATTAACAGGCATTAATGGGATTGGTAACTTAATGATCTTTCTTTACATTTCTTTTTTGCCTTGATGTAGATCGATGTTAAATACTTTTCATTCATTGACTAATTAGTGCAATTTCTGTGAAATATAGCATATTAAATACCTAATCTTAAGGATGCATTATGTAAGATTTAGATACAGAACTGGCCGTTCTTTCTATAATGGTTCAAAAAAAGATAATGGAAATAGAAAGTTTTTAATTCAATCATTAAATGCTGATCGTTTTTTAATCTGTTTAAATATTGCCATCCAATGGTCCAGAGAGTTGATTGTAGGCTTGTAATGTGAATAAATGTCTAAATACAAATTTATCTATAATATTTGAAGCCAGAAAAAAAAGGCCAGCAAAATTTACTGCCTATTTAATAGGCAAATTTAGCTTTTACATAATGCATCTTTAAATACCCAATCTTAATTGAAATTAGACTCTACTTCCGTTTTGTTTATTTTTCGTTTCATTTTCCCATCAAACAAAAAAACAAACAGAATGAAATAAAGATTTGAAATCATCAAATTAGATTAATTATTTAATATGTATGTGTATTTTATATATATTGGAATTTATTTATTGTGTATTGTTATATTGGAGTTACTAACTACAACATTCCCATTTTACATTTAATTTTTTCAATTTAAATACTGTTAAATTTTAATATATTATGATCTTGTTCATGGTATCATTAAAACTATTAACTTTTAATATATTGTGAATTTATGAATGATGTAATTAAAAACTGTTGACTTTGTGAATATTTTATGACTTTTTGTGATGAAAAAAAGTTGATTGTTAATATGTTATATGTTGTTTATTTGTGTTATTGAAACGCTAATCATGCGTAATTAAATTTGTTGACCTTTGAACTTTCACATTCCTTAAATTAATGAAATAGAACTAGGTCCTTTACTTTTAACATTGCTTTATGTTCTCCCCATAACACGTCCAAAAACAGTATTGTGAAACTTTTAAATGAACATAAAAGGTAACCCAAATTCATCATCCTTTCTTGACTTTCTGCACATAAAACAATGTGTCCAGAAACAAGAACTTGAAAAGTAACCTAAATTCCTCCATTCTTTTAAATCTGGCTTCTGGTATATTGTTGTTACTTTTACAAGGACTGGCTCAGTCCTTGAATCCAATTTGGAATTACTAAATTAGCAATATTCAACATTTAGTAATTATGAGTTGAAAAGTTGTAAATATTATGTTTAGTAAACTGGTGTGTTTAGATTTTTATACCCTCCCACATTTTCATGTTGATGTATTATGCCGTCGCCCCTGTCTGTCCAAGTTGACATCCAACCACAATTTGTTTGTGGACACTCTACAAGTCACAATTTTTATCCGATTTTGATGAAACTTAAAATATAGGTCCATGTCCCAAAGATCATGGTTCATTTTTGATATTGGCATGTATCGGACCATAAATTCATGGATTGTGGCCCCTGATTGTACGAAAAATCATGTTTTTAGTTTGTGGACACTCTAGAGGTTACAATTTTCATCTCATTTTGATGAAACTTGAAATGCATGTTTATAACCCAAAGATCTTGGTTCCTTTTGATATTCGTAATTTCCTGAATTATGGCCCCTGATTGTTCGAAAAATTGTGTTTTTAGCTTGTGGTCCCTCTAAAGGCCACAATTTTTCTCTGATTGAAAAAAAAACAAAAACATTTAAATATATCACTGTTACACCCTTATGATGGATGAGTTCGAATTTTGTGGAAATCGGAACAAAACTGACAGACAAAATGGCATATCGCGCATATCTGAACTTAACTTCCTGGATTATGGCTCCTGAATGTACGAAAAATCGCTTCTTTCTTTGAGCTTGTTCTTTGTCCATCTCATGTAAAATGTGGGCGTATCTTGCATAGCAACCGCTTGTTGCTTTCAAGACATGATAAATTTGTTATGAAATTGTTTTTATGACTATTTGTAAATTAAATCTTTTGTTATCAGTATTTTTGCACATCTTTTCTTATATTCTCTTAAAACTATATTTCTGACTATTTTCTTGTTTTGTTTTGTTAAATTTTTCTCAAGAAATAAGTCACTGAGTTCTGACCACTACACGGGGTGCTGGCTTCAACATAAGACTTGATTACAGATGTTAAAATAAATTATATTACAAAAAAGATATTCGTTTCTTGTTTATTTATATGTGAGCTAGAAGTTGTAATAGAGTGTTATGTCCAAGAAACCTTATAGGGTTTCGCTCAATATTGTTCTGCCCTATTCCCACCATAAAAAAAAATCCCAAGTAATGCCCCTTGGACCAGTGGTTCAAGGTTAGAATTACGTCGGTGGCTTTTAATGGTGTATTTACTATGAACCTGGTTTATGCATCCCCCCTCACTTTGGAATGATAAAATAAAATAAAATGGCACTGTTGGCTGATCTGACTACTGGGCACTAACCGTAACCCTAACACAAAAGATGAAAAGATAGGTTGCCAGGCAACGAAACATACACCCACAGCAGCTAAATCGTCTGGGCAGTCAACAAGAGTTGTCGCATATTTTTACTTTTTTCGGTAATGAAACATTTATAATACACTAAAATCTGATTAAGAGCAATAACTTAGAAAACCATTACAATTTGTTTGGTGTTTATAAAGTTCTGCCCCATGCTAACGTTTTGTATACAAAACTTTTAATACTGTATCATGGATTTAGCTGTTCCAAGTCATAAAAATTCATTGAAAATCAATATACTTGTTTGTCTCAAGATCTTAAATTCTGTGTATCAATCTGAAGTCAATCCGATATTAACTTTGGCCTCTAGAGCGTCCACAAGATTTTTTGAAGTGATCAAGGGCCAGAACTTTGGCAGTAATTATCAGAAATCTTTGAAAATCAATAGGCTTCTTCGTCTCATGGCCTGAAACACTGTATATAAATTGTAAGTCAATCGGATATTAACTTTAGCCTCTAGAGCGTCCACAAGCAATTGTGGACGCCGGCCGGACGGAAGGGGGCGACGACAATATACGACCACATTTCAATGTGGGCGTATAAAAAGTAGTCAGATCAACCAACAGCGTCAATAAAATAATTGACAACCCAAAAAACACAATGCTTAACATGCAAGATTTAATATTTTAATTCTTTTAACTGAGCACTAGAAACTTATGTCATTGCTAATTTTCTACCACTGTAGATCACAAGTCCTCTCCTTGGATTATCCACCTACCTGGTATGAAGTCATGAACCGTTGAATAAGATGTCTATTCAGAGATGGCCTTGGCCCCATCATGAAATGAGTATTAAATTATTAAAATGAGCACTAATTTGTATCATAAATTTTCTAAAGAATAATGTTTATTCAAAGCACATAAATGATGACAATAAAGTTATGAATCTTGGACTAAGATGGTCATCCAGAGATCTTCTAGAGCCCCTTCAAAAAGTTTTAAATTATTCAATGACCATAAAGTTTAAATTCATGGGCTAAGATGGTTCTGGCATGTACTGGGTGTTACAAATTTTGTAAAAAAAAAGTAGTTGTTTATTCAAAGCACAAAAACTCCAATACAGATAGCAATAAAAAGAAAGAAAATTGTTAAAAGTTTAAATAATTGTTTGTAATCAAGATAGTATGTATCATGATTCAACTGTTTTCCACTCACTAGACGCCATTGTGGTACAGCTGGCCCTCTCTTTTCAGAGGATTTTTCGTTTGGATAGGGAATAACACCAGCGAGCATTTTAGCTTCTGCTGTTTTGGCAATTTCGGGAAGTTCTTTTAATGGTTCTGGATTTTCATCTGGTATGTCGTCTGGTAATCTTTCTGACATTAACCCAATGTCATTGCTAGGCCAGTGAGTCGTCATCCGCATGTTTTCGTAGGCCTCCTTTTTGGTTTGTAAACTTTGATAACTTGACCACGATTTCGGCGCCATACAGACGAACACAACAAACCGCCACCTGTCCTTGCAAGGTCGACCACTTAACGGTCGGGCATTTGCATGTATTAGTCGTGAATCCCAAAGAACCATTCCACCTTTAGGAACGGCAATTCTTTTTCTGATGCAGCCTGCTTTGTTGTACCATTCAGTGTCCGTTTTTATCAAACGATAGAAATCATTTAGAGCGCTTCTGATCCTAGCTCTTGGGGACTGCTCAAAGAAGTCATTATGGAGTTTGTGTGAGCCTTCGAGAACCTCTAAAGTCCAATCCTGTTCATCAGCTTCTTCCAGATAGACACCGGATTGATATGCATGCAGTCCATCTCTAAGATAGCCTTGATCACAGTGAAGCCACCCTTGATTTTCTTTGCAGAAGCCGTTTAGTACATCATTGGGGTCGTCAAGTTCTTCTGGGGGACGAGCAACAGCAACTGCATCATAGCTTGAAAGAAGTTGATCCGTTTTCCACACTTCTTCAAAAACTCTTTTAGACGCAAGTCGGACCTTCCACGACGGTTCCATGTGAGCTATCTTGTATCGTTGTATACATGAATACATGTTGTGTGGCCATCGTCCATTTTTAAACTGCTTTAGCCAATCTTTGTATTGGCTTACATAGATATCACAGTCTTTGTGGCTGATAACATTTGGAACAACTGTATAACCTTTCTCTTTCAGTTCCTGGAAATTTCTTTTTGACATCAGAGATTCCTGAAATTGGATAATAACAATAGGGGGTCAATTACAGAAGTAACAAAACAGAATACTAAATACTAAATTAATTTAATGTCTAAAAAGTTACAAGACAGGGGGTCTGGGCGCATCCCCCATAAAATTTTCAAAAATTTGGAGGTTGTCCTGAATAGGGAATACAATCAAAATAATTTTAAAAAAAACAGCTCGATTTTGTGGGTTGTCATTGTGAGAAAAAAAAACAGCGCGATTTTGTGGGTTGTGAATATTAAATTAAACACATTAATATGAATTTTCATAACAATTAAATCATAACCGTCGAAGCTATAGTTCACAACTGTTACATACTGTCCTTTTCGGGGCGTTTGCTGCCCTTAGTTATAATCAATCAGATGCTTTGGGTGGGGCTGACTCTTTTTCGGATTTTTGATGACAGCAAATAAAAGTTCGGTACATATATAATTTATTAGACTTATCAGAAAGCGCCCAGATGCATCGACAGATAAACGAATTTTCCACAGGAAAATTTCAAAACAAAACTCAGAACAATGTATGAATACAACTCAAATTATAAATTAAAGGGAATAGATATTAAACTTACCATTGTTTATCGTTATCCTATAAATGGTTTTAATTCTATACACATATGATCTATGTAAGTCGTTTGTTGTCTTTGCATTGGCAAGGATAGTTGATACGCGCTTATATATAATAATAATGATCATGTTATCAATGATGACGTGTGTTTTAAAATAGCTGGCCACGTGGATTTAGATGACAAGAAATTTTACATGTCACTTACAAACATGCAGTAGTTGACAATTTCATAAACTGTAATGCTAATTAAGGTTTTGTGTCAATTTTATTTTGGGGAAACTAGAAAGTACGGTTCATATTTAAGCTTACAATTAGTAATTTTTGTCGCTAACAGGACTCTAATACAGCCAAAGAGACGGACTCAACGCAAAAGAGGCGCGAAAACTTTTGAAAAGGGCATCATAGTTAAGGCACTATAAGACCTAAACACTGATCCTCTGTTTCATTTTTATTTTTTTATTTTTTAAATAGTTAAATATCTATTCTTCGTTTGATATTGCTAAATTTAATGTTTTTACTCTTTTAGCGAGAGTGTACCTTTAATAATCCAGGTTCTTATCCAACCAAACGGTAAATACGTGGCAAAAGAAAGGTTATCCAGCCACATAATCGGGCTATTTAGTTATTAGGAGATGTAGGTTTTAAAATGAAGTCAATGGTAATAAATAAAATAACACCATATATAACTCCAATAAAAATACAGTGTGTACGGTTTTTAATTTGAACGCATTTTTCAGTTCATCTAAACGCCACTAAATTTACAACTGAAAATCAGACATTCCAGAATAGTTATCGGGAACCTGCTGGTTTCACGACGGTCTGGACAATAAAGACTATTTACACTAAAAATGGAGAAGACGTGCATTACCGGCGTCGTTATCTTGCTTTGTTATGTTGCTGCAGCTATTGCTCAGAAAAGAACACTGATATTGGTAGACAATTGGTCAATCCGAGAAACGCATTCAACATTTTTTAGATCTCTGAGAGGTAATTTATATAATTTTTCTGTCTACCAAAGAGAACGATTTCAATTGATTGCTAAGGGAGGTAATCGAGTCAGTCATTTTTTTTCTGGAGGTAAACCACCATTAATTTCCTCATTGACTTCAATAATTCAAAGTCTTGTCCAGGCTCCAAAGTTATGATGTTGATCACCAAAATTTTGAGATACACAAACTTGAAGAGGCATAGGCCTAATACTAGGCCTAAGTATAAACTTGTAACTCTTATCAGTAATATCACCTCTGTTAGTGTTATCCTTTCCACCTCTAAATCATGATAGTCCCGAAATGACCTAGTTTGTGTCGAGTGGACGTTAAACCCCATTCCTCTCTCTCTAATAACTAAATCATGAATATTTACCCAAACCTGGCAGAAAATATTAATTCAAACCATCTTCGTCTCTAAACCCAAAAGAATCAACGAAAATGGGCATGCAAAATGGGAAAAGAGAGAGAGAGAATTGCTATAAATAGTGGGTTCCAAGATACTTATAGTGAAATATAATGGTTGTCTGCCTCCTTAAATGAAGAGGCATTGTCACTCTCAAGCACTGACACAGTCCCCTTCACGGAAACGAAATGAAACTGGTTTTAATGTCCTACATGTGCTGTTCTGCACCAACTGGTCTAATGGGGACGGTGGACGCCATACAATGTGCTCTGATAGAAATTTTGCATGGACAGAGTCAACTTTTATTTTGAATTCCAATGATCAAGGGTTCTTTTATGTGCACGACTGCACGCCAATGTCATGTGTACACACAGGACCTCATTTTTTTGTCCCACATATGTTGTCCATTGCCAGGTCCTCTGTCTTGCACCTCTAACATGGGGAGACCACGCCAGAAATCCTGATGAAGCTTCTTGTTTAGTACCGGTTTGAACATCACCTTTATAATGTATTAGTAATGTGACACTGCCTCACATAATGTCTGATAGCTAAATCGTAAAACTCAACACCGGTGGCATACCAGGTAGCCCTCTTCTATGACTGTAGGCTTAACTTTACTACTAGTTTCAGTGCAATCAATTCGGTCATAACTTTAAAATAAAGCTATTCTTTTAAAGCACCATGCTATTTCTTCTTTTTTTTTTAAAATAGATCAAGGATTTGATTTGACATTCAAGACTGCTGATGATTCTAATTTAGCGTTAGTAAAATATGGAGAATTTTTATATGAAAATCTCATCATTTTCTCGCCATCTGTTGAGGGTAAGATATAATTAGATTTAATTTTATTTGTCACAATATTCAGATTTTCTGATTAAATTAGTCTCTGAGTAGCAAGGTTCTACCAGAATAGAAATGGTATCATCTGTTTATTGATATGATTTGTAATTTCTCCATAGTCATGACATTTTTCGAGACTCACCCTACATCTATTATGTATCTGAATGCAATTGGAGATTTTCTTAGAGATAGTCTGTCAAATTTTAAAGCACACACACATCACATTGAAATCTCAAGTTGTATTTTTATGTATACCGTTAGTTCATTTTTGCTTGATCATGCATGCCAAGCAAAATGTCACTATTTACCAGTTTGAGTCCATTTTTTAGTAAATTTTACATGGCCATATATAAGGTTTATGGGCTAGATATCGGCCCAATAATATAGAGAATAAAAACCTTCATCTCTTGCTTGTTTTATTTAGATTTTGGAGGTTCAGTAGATGTTGGAGCCATAACCAACTTTATTGATGGAGGAGGAAATGTATTAGTAGCAGGAAGTTCTTCCTTGGGTGAGTTTTATATTTTATGATAAACCTTGAGATAACATATCCCAAATCACATACCACAATAAATCTTGTGTGGTTTAGGTATTTTTTGTCAACAATTTGCTCAATAGGACAGACTTATTTCATGTTTTCTAAAGCATTTTTATTATAGACAAACCAGGCCATAAACACCTGTCACATATTTTATCAGGCACAAATAATCACACAACATATGTATTATAATATAAACACGCATTAATTTGTGCCTGACAATGTCTGTGACAGGTGTCTTATGTCCAAGCCTGATTATAGATGTTTAATGTTTTATTGTAGAACTTTATTTAGCTATTTATACTTTTATTGTCTTGTAAATCAAAACTTGTATATTATATTGTAGGTGATCCTATTCGAGAGTTGGCAACAGAATGTGGTATTGAATTTGATGAAGAAAACACAGCCGTCATTGATCATCTAAATTTTGATATCAACGATGATGGCAAGGTAAAAACAGTATGAATTCTACTTGTATCTAGAGCGTGGGGGGAGGGGGGTGTTGCTTGAGTATTCTAATGTCTGTGCTTTAGATCATAAGGTCTGTCATTGAGTCACGTTATGTGGTTTCGATCCCATGTCTGTACATGACAAGGAGCCGGGTTGTCTTCCCAACTTTGTGGGTTTCCACAAGGTCCTCCATTTTCCGCCCACTGTTAAAGACCCAATGAAATGAAATTGTACCATGTGTTAATTCTAAAATAACCTAAGTTGTGTTTGTTTCATCTTTAATATTTGACACAAAACAATAGGGTGGTTTTTAAGATTCTTTCATAAATAATTTAACAAGTGTAATACAAAATTGAGAATTGCATATAAATTTAATACAATCTTGACTTACCTCTTATTTATGCTATGTATTTATAACTCATAAAATGTAAAACACAAAGGTTTTTTTTTTCAGCACACCCTTATTGTTGCTGATACTAATAATTTATTAGATGCCCCAATGATAGTTGGACAGAAAGCTTCTTCTCCATTCTTATTCAGAGGAGTTGGGTTAGTAGATTAATACTTTAGTTAAATAAAGCCAATAAAAATACATTACAGTTTATAACAAGACAGGGCAGGGTGGGGGTTGGATGGCCAAATGGTTAGCATGTGTGCGCTGTATCATAAGGTCTGTCATTGAGTCAACTGGTGTGGTTTCGATTCCCCGGTTGTACGTGACAAGGATTAGGGTCGTCTGTCCAACCTTGTGGGTTTTCTCAGGGTCCTCCAGTTTCCTCCAACTGCTAAAGACCCCTACGCACAAGCGTATTATTGAAATAAAATTAAACCATATGTTAGTCCCGAAATGCCTTAGTTTGTGAAAACAACCCCCCTCTCTCTCATATAACAAGACAAACAATATAGTTATTATTAAGTCTAGAGCCAGTGGTGTACTCAATTTTGTTTAAAGATAGTGTCAAGTGTGAGACCTTCCAACACTATCAGAAGGTCCCAGCTCAATTCCAGTGTTTGCTGAGGAAGTTCCCTTGGTAGTGGTGTGGGATGGAGAGGGCCTGCCATGGGAAAGCATCTAGTCAATCGGATGGGACAAAAAATGGTCCTACATATAACATCAGCAGCATGTTTAAAGACCCCTCACCAGTTAGAGTAAGAGTAGGCAGTAACTTTAGTCATTGATTTGTAACATCTCTAAAGCAGGTGGATGGTTTCTTTCCTTTTCAAATGATTACTTTAACATCAAGGCAACCTCTGTGTGTCCTTCTTTTTCAGTTGAACCATAAGAATTGATAAAAATGATAATTAAATTAAATATTGTAATTACATAATAGATATGTGTTATGTATTATTTACAGTATGGTAGCTGATCCTGATAATCCTCTAGTACTTGGTGTTTTACATGCTTCGTCTACAGCTTATTCTTATAATCCAGATGAAAAAATATCAGAGGTAAACATTGATAGATTAATTAATTAATTAATTTATTTAATTAAATGAGACATGAGAAAGGAGACTTGATTTATAGATCAAAACTTTGCTGTCTTTGATCGTACTCATTTTACGATTTGAATACTCTTAAGTCATTATTTGAATATTAATTTCAATTGAAATGTTAAATTTAAAGATTATTTATTTGTTCTTTTTTTTAATCCATTTTCAGATTTCTAGATAATATAAATCTTTCAAATCAATATATATCTGTTCTTTTATCTGTTTATTTTGTATTCCATTAGTTTTAATTGACATTGTGTAACGAATTGTAAACAACAGTTCAAATAACTCTGAAAAAGTATTAAAGGAATTTGTGACAAATTGGTCGCAACACATATTATAATGTAATATGAATATATTTAAACTGATTTATATTCAAACGTTTCCGTTTTTACTCTAATTTCAAATCAGTTATGTTCGGCGAAACACGCCAGAAGTCTCAATCAAATGGCAATCTCTAGCGTCTGGTCATTCCAGTCTACACCGATAGTATTTATTACGCAGTCTCTCCAGATAAAAATATGGCGTCACCGATTGACATGACTTGTGGAATATGTCTAGCTTTGTTCTTCAAGCCCCTTGTTACAAATGGCGCTGAAACGCATTATGGTACTCGATTCGTGTACCAATTGTAAAATGTTTATTTTGTTTTAAATATTGGATATCAGAAGCCCATCTTTTCCCGATAAGATCATATCATCAATGTTGATTTAAATTGACAAATAATTTGTGTTTTCAATGCTGAAGACTTCTGATGATATTGAGTTAGAGACTTAGCTACTTTAATTAGAGGTTGAATATTTGTGTGAGGACTAGCCGATTAGTAGTTTCTTTTGTTTTACTTGTAAATTTACTGTTAATATTTCTTCTGTTTTAGTTCCCTCATGCTGTTGGTAAAAATACTTTGTTGATCAGTGCTCTACAAGCCAGAAACAATGCTCGTGTTATATTTGTTGGTTCTATTGATTTCTTCAGTGATGAATTCTTCCAAACATCAGTTCAAAATGCCAACAATGGAAAGAGGTAATATGGAAATTTAATAGTGAAGTATTATTCTGCACCAAATGCAGTTAATGGGCACAGTATATCAGTCCACAGCACATAAACCTACTATGATACTTTTGACTTTTATTAATTAGAAATTTCTCAGATTTAATGATTGGAAACAAATTTTGGATTTTGATGACTGCGTCTTGTTTTAATTTATCATTTAATTTTTGAGATGTTTGCCTACTCTATTGTTTTATTGTTCTGATAAACAAATTAACCCTTTGAATTTGATCAAATGAACCTTACATCTTTTGATGAAATATTAATCATGTGCCCCTATGTATGTTTTTTTTTTTTTGCTACAGATTTGAGAAGTCAGGAAACCAGGAATTGGCCAATAACTTAGCCCTGTGGGTTTTCCGTGAGAAAGGTGTTCTCCGTGTAGGAACAGTTGAACATCATTTAAAGGGATCAAAGAAAGTACCAGCAGCTTATACTGTTATGGAAGAAGTGGTATGTTTATTGTACATGTATTAATCTTTATCTTGGTTCCTTGGAGCTGCAGTGGCTCAGTGATTAAGGTGCCAGCTAGTTAACCAAGAGGTTGCGGGATTCATCTGGTTGCAGATGAAGAAACTTTCTCTGGATTTTCCAGTGTGGTTTTCCTTGGCATGGAACAATTTCTAGTCATTTGAATGGGAGAAACAAGCTCCTATGTACATGTTGACATGCACGTAAAAGAACACAAAATTAACCCCATAGCACACTTTATGGCCTATGCCCGTATTCAATAGCCCAGTTGGTGCAGAAAAGGAGGATGTTAAACCTCATCTCATTGCATCCCTGTACCTAGTGATTCTGCTGTTTGATATCTTAATTGTATTTAACTAGGAGTAGACTCGTTGTCCTAATCTGTGTTAGAAAGTAAAATGATGTAACTCTGTTCATTGGACATTAAATGAACACGATTAAAGTGGTTACATCGAATAGTGATTTTAATATTCAAACAGTCCAAGTTATTATTAGAATGCTCTTTAAATATTTGATTCAATTTAAATCAATGTTTGAATTGTTATTGGGGTTTTTTTCTTTCAAATTTCTAGAAAATGTGAATCTGTATATAAGCAATATATATTTTCTATATCTTTTGTTTTATATTAGTTCATAGCATGGATTACTAAAATTTGACCAAACTCCAATGATTAGAAAGATTTATTAATTTATAAATACTGGCTTTGTGTATTTTAGGAATACAGTATTCAGATTGATGAATTAACTGATGGTCAGTGGAAACCATTCCAAGGAAAAGATGTCCAATTAGAATTTGTTAGAATTGATCCATTCGTTAGGACAACTTTAAAACAGAAAAGTAAGTTTGTTATAGAGTTTGACAACCATAAGAAAATAGTGTTTCACAGGGCCAGGTTCTTCAGTACATGTTGAACAACCGATGATCTATTCCCAGTTCATTCCTGATAAGAAAACTGTTTGAATCACTAATGTGTAGTTTAAGGGTTTGGAGACACCAAATGCTGCAAGAGGCCATCAGTCCGAATATGTATCAAAATATTGATACATTATCCTGAACATGATCATCATGGATGTCCAACATTTCCACCTTCTTGTATAAATAATGTACACTTGGAACATTGCCCATACCATTATTACAACATCAAATGATAACACATCTGTATTTTAAAAGTAGTTAAGATGATTTTAAATTTCACCGGCCTTGTAATCAGTCGATGAAAGTATGATCTGATGTTAGCCTGCATTTCTCACCATGTGTAGATGGCATTGTATATTCATCTGAACTTTCGGATATTCAAACAGATTGTCCTTTCATACATTAAACTAAACTATATTGTGTATTAGATGGGTTATTACATCAGTTGGTAATATATTAATGTAAATGATTTTATTTTTAGACATCAGTTTGTAATATATTAAAGTAAACTTTATTGTCTTTTAGACAGATAATTACATTAGTTGGTAATGTTTTAAAGTAAATGATTTTGTATTTTAGATGGGTTATTATATGTCAGCTTCAAATTACCTGACGTATATGGTGTTTATCAGTTCCGTGTAGATTACAATAGAGTTGGTTATACACGTCTCTTCAGTACCACACAGGTAACACATTTCACATATTTCTTAACATTAATCATCATTGGTTGTAACTACAGAGATATACTCTTATGAACAATATCAATTTGTTCCAAGTTCGAGCCACGGTGGGGGGTTGGATGGCTGAATGGTTAGCACGTGCGCGCTGTATCATAAAGTCTGTCATTAAACCTTGTGGGTTTTCTCCGGGTCCTCCAGTTTCCTCCCACTGCTAAAGACCCCTATGCGCAATCGAATTATGGAAATAAAATTGAATCATATGTTAGTCCCGAAATGACCTAGTTTGGGTCGAGTGGACGTTAAACCCAATTTCTCTCTCTCTCGAGCCATGGTGGCTAAGTGAGTAAGATGCTGGCTTGTTAGTCTCTAGGTAGCAGGTTCGATCCCAGTGTTGGTCGAAAAAGTTCATCAGGATTTTCCAGGGTGGTCAATATTTATATGTACCACATGCTAAAAGGTTCATATAGTGTGAAATATGTTAATACATATGGAAACCAATAATTTCTTATACTGCTTTATTTTGTTTTATTTCAGGTTTCAGTTCATCCATTGAAACATACTCAGTATGAGAGATATATACCTTCAGCTTATCCATACTATATCAGTACATTCTCCATGATGTTTGGTGTCTGTATATTTAGTTTCGTATTTTTACATTATAAAGAAGATACAAAAGATAAAAAAGAATAGAGGATTATTTTAAATTAATAATAATGTTTAGTACATTTTTTTAAATAAAAATTAAAATTTAAGTATTTACCATTCCATGAGAAAAATAAGTTTTTGTACAAAATATCAAAAGAAATGAGTAAATTGTCTGAAAGGTGGAATGTTAAAAAATAATTGTTGAAGACTGAAAATGTTTTAAGAATAAAAAAATTAATGAATAACCACCAGTAATTTCCAAAGAAATAAAGTACATTTTATGAAAGATTGTTTGTTCAAGAAAGTTGTTTAGGACTAAAAGTGTTTATGGAATACAAAAAAAAGAAGTGAGTAAATTCAAAAAGTTTGAAAAATAATGACATCAGAATTTTTACGCTATTAATTGTACTTTCTATCTCATCATATGTCATCAGAAAATAAAATATTTGGACTCTTGTATTCTGGCTATTGTGTTTGTTTATATCATATAGATAGACATTTGATTATTAATCATGTTTACTGAACATCTTATTTTAATTTAGCCTGAATTAATGGGATGGGATTAACTAACTTTTGTTTGAAATAGGACTGCAAAATGACATAGTTTTGTTGAAATACGGGGTAAATTGTATGAGACTGGTAATTATTTGCACTTTTTCTTTTATCCCTTTGTCAATTTTTGTTGACTTCTGGTCTAGAATCGAAGTGGAATTTTATTTTTCTGACAGGATTTTGTGAATATACATGATTTTGAACTTTAATGATTCGGAAGTAAAAAGATTTGAGGAGGCAACCTGCCTCCTAAAATGATGCCCCATAGAAACATACAAGATGTTCAAATCTGTTAAAAAAAAATTTTTTTTTTTTTTTTTTTTCCAAATAATTGTGAATAGTTTCTAACATGTTATCGGCAGAGAAATGGCAATGTGGAGAGAATTATAGGTCTGATTCCATAGTCAGCGGTCATGTAAAGTGGAGTGATCTCCCTCTAATAGCACAATTAATAAAACATTTAGAGGCGTGAGCCCAGAGGGTCGAACCTAGACGAACGGTGTACCAATATCTGACCATATAGCCATCTACATACTAACCTGTGATTTACAGAAATGGACGCTTGTCGGGGTTCAGTCCCTGGGTGTGGCCTTGGTGACGCCTAAAATGGGTTATACTCATACATTCAAGGTACCGGTCGAAACCAATTTTAAATGAAGGAGGAAACCAATTTTAAATGAAGGAGGACATCTCACTGAGTACGAAATTGCCCGTAACAGACGATTTTGGCCCTGGGATGGCCCAAACTGACACCCTAAATACGGACCCCAGAGGGCTTGAAAAAAGGTTCTATTCATACATTGGAGGTACCAGTTGAAATTAAATATAAAGGAAAGGGTATATCCCACTGAGTACGAAAATGCCCATAAAAGACGATTAGGCCTCTGGGATGGCTCAGACTGACACCCCATAGCCGAAGGGGGCCAAAAATGGGTTATACTCATATGTGCGGGGTACCAGTCAAAACCAATTTTAAATTAAAAAGTACATCTCACTGTGTACAATATTGTCCATAAATTTCGAAGTTTGAACGCTTCTCGTTTGTTTTTGAATGTTGATATTTAGATTTAATATATTTGACATTCAGTGAGTTACAGACTCGATGTTAAAATTTATGCTATTAGAAATTTAACATTTGAACAAAGTAGTCTAGTCATGTTTTCTAACTTGTTCTAGCCCACACTCTGAAATGTCAGTACGCATACCTCCTAGGAAAGCTATACTGGTTGTGTTGCGTGAATTGGGGTGTAGCTCCTAACTATAATTGAGTGATCAGGTGATAATGTGGTGAGTGATGACGTGATAGCCAGGGGCGGCAGATTACCCATGGCGCAACTATCCAAGGGCCCCATTGGAAAGTTAAGAATTAGAATACGGAATCCTTCATTTCCAAACGGTACGTGTTAATAATTCCGAGATTGTTTTTAAACACTACAGTCCCTAATTGCGCTTGTGAACGTTTCTATAGTTATTTGAAACGAATTAAACAAACTCTGCGTCCCACTATTACGCAAGGGACTGAACAAGCTGGCATTGATTTTAGTCAAAAACCGGATTTTTTTTAGGATATCATCGATTACTTTAGTATGTAAACAACTAATTTGATTCTAGTTTACTGAACAACAATTTAATTGAAGTTGACTGATCAATAATTTGAAATTTTATATACCTGTACATTGCTAATCATTGAGCATTCAGTGATTTGAGATTATACTTTTATGTTTAAACATACATTATGCAAGAGCTAAATCTGCCTATTGTAGGTCTTTCTTTAGGTCTGAAATATTGTCTAAATTATTAATTAGACATTAATTAACTTATCCAGACCATAATCAACTCTCGACGTCAACGCTAGTCTGCGATATTTACTCGATTAGGGTCCGATTTGCTGCTCAACTTTCATTCATGATTTAATCATGAAATGGATAATCGAGACGATGTTTTTATCGTACCGATTTTAGTAATGATGATCGAGGCTAGTAATGATGACGGGACCTCCAGGTTAACGAGCCAACAGCTTACCCACTGTGACACCGTGGCTCCCAACGGTTATAGACGCAAAAAGTGTTAACATCCACGGTTCCAAATCCGATTCTTTGCATGTGCTCCGTGGGGCATCACAGTGTTTAGTGTAGAGTCGGTATTATTAATAATCTTCACTAAAACGTCAAAAGAAATTGATAAGCAATGTGAACTAACTTGTATGCTGTCAAGTCAATACAGTTTTGAAATTAAAGATCAGCTCAGATCAGAGCATTCCTTGGTTGTTTAGATAAGATTCGCATATGGGTGTCACTGTCAGCCCACTTTTTAAAATCAATTTTCGAGAAAACCAAATTTCTGATAATAGGCACTTAACACAACGCGGATTAACCATGGTGGGGGGCCCTGAGGCATGACGAGTGGGGGGGGGCACCAAAGTGACACAAGTGACCAGAAGTTTGGCAGTACTACGTTCCTCGATTCACCGGCAACAAAAAAAAAAAAATTACGTTCGGAGATTAATAATGACAATTTTGACAGATTCTGCGTCCAAAACGCGAATAAAAATGGGCTCAAAGTTACCTTGATTCCATCTCCTACAAGTTGTGACCAAAATATTGCCGCTAAAGAGAATTTAAATGCGTTTCTTGATACATTTTTCCAGCTAAATAAACAAAAAGAGGAAACACGGATACCAGTCGAAAGTCATACGCGGCATCGCCGGATCACACTTAATTCTCGGATGTCAACCGCAATACGGGCCCATCGCCATGGATCGAGGGGGCACCAATGTCCAGTACTATGAAAATCCGATGGAGTGCCTCGAACCGTGGAAGTTCTTGTTCATTCATTCATATCGTCTAAAATAGACTATTACGAAGAAATACTGTTTGGGCTACCAAAGTATCTGTTCCCTAACCCCCCAAAACCAGAAAACACCAAAACGTTACTTTGATATTGAAGCGTCTTTATTGGCTTCCGGTTGGTAACGAATAAAATTCAAAATCTTACTCATTAAACTTTAGAGCCTTAAATATGACATAGCCCCTGAATACATAAAATATCTTCTCATTATTCGCGGCCCTAGCGTTATTAAGCTATTGTCGATCAGAGCTGTACATTTTGAGATAGACGCCGGTTAATTCGCACACTCGGTCCCTTTTTTTATGAAATCCATTATTGCTGGTCAGAAGCTTGAGATGATCTGACGTCCATTCGCATACTCGGTCCCTACCCTATGAAATTCACAAAACTAGGCAGTCACGCCCCGAAAACGGTTTAAATATTTTGCTTGTAATCTCAAGAGATTGTTCACCAATTGGCTTTGATCTTCTGAATATGCCCCTGTGTATCTTTAACATTACTCCAGTGTTGATAGTTGGATGGCCGAATGGGTAGCGCGTGCGCGTTGTATCATAAGGTCTGTCATTGAGTCAAGTGGCGAGGTTTCGATTCCCCGCTTGTACGTAACCAGGAATAGGGTCGCCTGTCCAACCCTGACGGTTTTCTTCGGATCTTCCAATTTCCTTTCACTGATAAAGACCCCCCACGCGCATGCAAATTATTGAAATAAAATTGAACCAGATGTTAGTACCCAAATGACCTGGTTTGTGTCGCGTGGATGTCCCCCCCCCCCCTCCTCTCCCCCCCCCCCCCCTCTCTCTCTCACAAACATAAGAGACAGATGTCAAGAAGCAGATATAACGGACGTTCTCTGTACAAGATGGCTAAATCTGAGTGGTGGACAGACTCTAGGAAATTTTGAGTCATTGGACCACGTTTTGACATTTTTATTTTAGAATTTTCTACGGGTCCATATAGGTAGTTCAAAATCCATTATTTTCATGCTTCACGAAGATAGGTTATCGAACTCTCTCCACATACTCAACGATGGATTCAAACGCTTATGATCTCCCTCCATAAATATTTTGGAAAAGCTGACCAGATTAAAACACTTGACTCGTAGGCGGCAGAGGAAATTAGCTCCTGCTCTGTCCTTTCTTCACAAATAAGGTGGCGCCATTATATTTGGCGCGAACACGATCAGCTAATTAACTATGTAGGCGCAAATTCTTATGCCCTAGGTTTTTTAGAAAGTAATCCAGTTGGTCCCAACAATGTAAAAACTGAATTGGTGTTCATATTTTTTTAAAATTCTCGTTTGGTTGTACAGAAAATTCAAATGCACGTTTTACACTTGACAGATTAAATACGGATTTGAAAGGAAATGTTTGAATATAAGACGGATAAGGAGGGTAGTGTTTAAATAGACTTTGTTTGGTATTATCTAGAATCTATGAGTATGTGTGTCAACGCTTATCTTAAACAGATAAAGGTGGTAATATGCACCATTTGTTTATAAACATTCAACATGAGAGGATTTATACTGTGTGCTGTGCTTGGCATCGTCTTGGTAACATTTCATTCTTTATCTTTTAGTTATATATTAATATGTTATGATATTTCAGGTGAGATGGTAATTAACAGGGTAGGGATCGAGAGATTTGGACATGGAATATAGACATCGTGTTTTGGCCAATTTCAGAAATTGGGCTGAGACCATCATTGTGTAACCATAAAACTATTTGTGTGGGCATCAGTTATTTTTGCTAATATTATACTGATAATCAACATACTATTTGAATGAACACCTTGATTTAGGTGTTTACTGCTTGCGTTTTTCAAAAATATGTGGTTTTAGGCCAATTCTTTATAGCAAATCGGCTCATGGGGTGCTATACCTATAGGTACTAGCCACGGGAGCAGCTGCCCCCCTAACTTTCGGGCAACCTGACTTTTCGGGCAGACGGGTAAATCTAGTTGGCAAAATAAAGTGTCAAAAATCTACTAAAACACTAATTTACTTTTCTTTTAATTGAATACCAAGAATATGTACTGAATTGACTATGGATTAAAGCATTTTGTCTGGAGCCATTCTACTCTGTGCGACATTTTTCGGGCATCGATTGTTTTGTGAATGCCCCCTGTCATCGAGCCGGCACGCCTATACCTATGGCTATACCGTACGTTATCAATGCCTGACGTCTCTTTCTTTTTCGCCTTATTAGTCCGTGATGATAGCCCCATGTATGGGATCTTCTCCCGTCTTTTCTCGTAGACGGTAATCGTTTATGACCGGACTCAGCCGTTCATGGCCAAAACCCGACGAAGTTCGCTGGAAACAGTGTTGTTCTAGACCAGTGGTTCTCAACCAGTGTGCCGGGGCACACAGGTGTGCCGGGAGATCTTCCTAAGTGTGCCGCGAAATTTTGAACGGCACACTAAAAAAATGTAAAAAGTTCATATCTGTGTTTTTCTTTGTTTAGTCATTCTATGTGTCTATGACTAGTCTCTGTCTACGGTTGTATTCCGTCCAAATTACCATGTTTTTATTTTGCAAAATTCAAATATTTTTCATATGTATTTAGCCAGGTGTGTCGCTATTTTTTCATGTGTTCCAAGGTGTGCCGTTCGCAAAAAAAGGTTGAGAACCACTGTTCTAGACGTATAGTCCAACATGTTTTGCTTTTTTGCTCTAATACTTTAAGATAGATGAATACCTATGAAATGAAGGCATCTGCTGTCGGGATGACCTTATATTTAAGATTTAGACGAAGAGCTGACTATGATAGTTCAGATATAGATAATGAAAAATGAATATATCGAAAATTTCAGTAAAATTACTTTATTCTGGGCAAAGATAAGACTGTTTAAAAATGTAACGTAGATTGTTTATTATTGTAGCAACGATACTTGACAACCGAGACTACGTCTTGATTATCCATTTTATAGCTATTTTTTTTAAATCTCGCGTGTTCAAATCCGTTTAAATCTCGATCATCCAATGGCCTAGAGAGTTGATTATAGCCGTGGCATGTGAATAAATGTCTAAATAATAATTTGGCTCCTACATAATGCACCTTTAAGTCTTAAAATGCTTTGTGGTATTTTGCTTCTTTTTCTTGTACTGCTTTAAAAATAATTTATGGGCAACCCGGACGAGATAAACATTCCGGAATTGCACGTGAATACAGGAAAGACAACTAAATATAAGTAAAACTGACGGTGATTGGATGACAATATGGTGACGGGTGACAGTCACCACCACTGTATTAGTCTCAAATAAAGACAGAGTACGCGCTATCACCTGTAACCCAAGGCGACCACGCGAAGAAAAAGCCGCTTTTTGCGAAATAGTGGTTAGATCCTGAATCGTTTGAAACGACAAATATAAATATTTGTGAAATTTTCCATCGTTTGCATACAGTTTTATAAATTTATTTTTCCGTCTAGTAATAAAGAAAGGATTTGAATTTCAAGTTTCTGATTTTGTAAATATTCATAATTTTTAAGCGGAAGGATAACAGAGTTCAGAAGAGGATGATGATCCTGACCATATATTTGGAACCTCTTTCCAGGTTTAACAATCGCTGAAAACGGGTGAACCATGAGGAACAAGATCCCGTCTGCCCCCCCCCCCCCCACCCCAAACAAAAACAATATTTATATGTGTGTGCGGGGGAGGTAGTGGGGTGGCAGTCCCTCCCAGTGTCACCGGTTAATATTGGCCTGTAAGGAACGTGCTAGGGTCGATTTGTAGCATATCTGACCCACAGTATATTTTTGACACTATGATTGAGCATTATGATTATGATTATCATGATTTTTTGCCATTTGCGAGGGGGCGTAAAAACTCAAGGGGGCGCAAAAACTCAAAACCATGACGCAAAGCTCGTAATTGCGTCACTCCCACTTAGCCCCTAGCTGAAAACACACCAATTAAAAACACCCTTGACTTTTGTTGTCGTCACGGAACTATAATTTAGTCGTGCTCAAGTACCCGTTAAAATACAAGTCCTTATCAATCATCTTATGACCCGGATTTTAACACATATCATCCTGTGACTATCCCCATTGAAATTTGAACATTGGAAGAATTAATATATTATATTAGTAATAGTGCAATATTTCTTCTTTACAAAATATAATTTAATTAAGAGATTCCGTTTATATTCTGCCTGACAAACGTTTTAATTGAATGTTTATTTTGTAGGCGGAGTTTCAAAATAGCAAGTATGAAAGGCGCCTGGATGGATACCGATTTCAGTACCATGATGATACGGTGAATAAATAATTAGCTTTTCAAGCAGGTGAAAGCCTGCACTCCCAAACTTACCACACAAATATTATACAATAACAAGCTCATTAGATATAAATTGTTAACTATTTCAAATGCGTTGATCGGGGTTATTTTACAAGTAGTGATAATTAAAAGAATTGTCCTAATCTCAGTGGAACATTATCAGAGCGGACGGACTTTGATGTCGCTGCCCTGGTAAATATATAGACTTCTACCATCTACTCTTATTTCGAATTCAAACTGCCAAGGATTCTTTGTAAGGTACACACGGGCCGGGATCTAGCTATTTGTCCCATCCGCACGACTAGACGCCCCCCTTTGCCATGGCGGAACACAGTACGCCGGAAATCTCCGGCGATTTTTTTGGCTAACTCAGAGATCGAATCTAGGAGCACATAGCTAGTGTGAAATCATCTTACACTGGGCCACCACATCCCTCAGCCCTACTGCTGAAGATCTATGTTAATCCCAATGACCCCAATGATTGTATCATGTGGCCATTACTCTCTCTCTCTCTCTCTCTCTCTCTGTCACCTGGATGTGTGGGTCATTGCAACACCAGAACTGTTTATGGGTTTTTTTATTTAAAGGGACATTATTTGGCGATAAAGGGGATGGATTGTTATGTAGCTGATGTTCCTGTTGACAGTGAACTACAGACGAAGCTTCAAGATAATGATCATTTAGATGATTTAGAAGTGAGTATAGAACGTCGCAAAATATAAATGTATCTATTTTTGTTAATCTATAGACAGAGCCCGGTTAGCCATGTCGATTTCCTGGGCATATGAAAGCTAGAGAGGGGAGAAATGTGGTTTAACGTCCACTCGACACAAACTAGGTCATTTCGAGACTAACATATGGTCTTTAGCAGTGGGAGGAAACCGGAGGATCAGGAGAAAAGCCAGTAGGAGGAAACCGGAGGACCAGGAGAAAACCCACGAGGTTGGACAGGCGACCCTACTCCTTGTCACGTACAACCGGGAAAGCGAAATCACGCCAGTTGACTCAATGACAGACCTTATAATTCAACGCGCACCGCGCTAACCATTACCCGCCCCCCCCCCCCATATGGAAGCTATGTACAGTCGTTTCTTGAAAAAGTTTGGTAACTCTACCCAATATTACTGTTATACTTATTCTCCCGTTCAAACTGTACTTTCATTACTCTTATTCTCACTTTCAAACAACGATTATCAAATACTGCCTTTTAATTTTCGGTGTCTATATGATTTACTGTAATCTTTTTTCTTCTGACACAGACGACGTACCCCCATAAAAGGCACTCTGAGTTAAATGTGGTTTAGCTTATACATAAATATAGTCCGAGACTTACATACGTACATATTATATAAAAATTATTCAGTGTTCTTAATCTTTATTGATAGATTTTGTTACAAGACCTTTAAATCTTATATATCTAAATTGAAGACGCATTATTTATAGATTCCAACATTCCTTATATGAGTGGCTTGGCCACTGGAAAAAAAAACAAAAGTAGCAAAAACACATTCTGCATGAGATAATTTATTTGGGTAAAAAACTTGACGGAATCGTGTAGAAGGTCTTTCTTACCAATTATGTATACGTGTGTCTAGAAACCCATCAATAATGCACAAAGCGGAAGACATTTATATGGACAAAAAATAGATACTTATATCTTATTTAGATAAATTTACATCTGGATTGTGTTTGAGAAGCACACGCAAGTCCGAAATTCCTGACAGTTTTCCAGTCATCTTGTAAGGGAAGAGTCCAGTTTTAGCCTGATTTCAGATGTCCATTCATGGTACATGTACGCTTAAACATGCATTATGCAAGAGCTAAATCTGCTTATTGCCGGTCTTTCTTTAGGCCTGCAATGTTATCTAAATTATTAATTAGACATTAATTAACTTATCCAGACCATAATCAACTCTCGATGTCATCGCCAACCCCCGATATTTAGCGGATTGGAATACATCTTGTGAAGGACAATTACAATTGATAATCAAGACTATGTTTTTTTTATCGTACCGACTTTAGTAATGATGATCGAGGCTAGCTCTCGGTTCAGAGTAGAGCAATTTGACTGAAATTTTCAGCATATTCTGTTTACGTTATCTATTTGTTTTTTTAACTATTATATCGAGAACTATCAACTCTTTATCTAATCTCCCATAATACCCTTTTTAATTAATTACCTTTCCAAATATGTATCCTAGACAGTTCTACGGCTTAGCCTATGTGTTGGAAGTTGTGCCCAAAAGTATCAATAACGCATCTGTCGTAGTCTTGTTTTCTGCACAGCTTTGGTTAGAAAAGTTGTAAAGAGTCCGGGGATACGTCAATGAAAAGGCTATTTAGATACATTTTATTCAGTTCAAAGCAAGTGATTTGAGTCCTAGGATAATTGAGCTACACCACCAAACCAGTTAAACCCCAAGTGGTCCGCTATTTCTTATGATCCGCGCTACTCCTTGGACAACTAGGATCAGTTGAGCCATAACACTTAACAATGCAATAATCACAATTTTGGCCCGTTAAACGGAGGGTGATTCTCTATTCCTTATGATCCGCAACTCCTTGGGCAACTGTACTAATGTTTCCCCTTTATTTCAGAGAAAGGTCATTAATGTGATAAAATCAGGAACTGGTTTGAATCGTGTTGACCTGCAAACCATTGTGGATAGATATCAAGATACACTGACCCGAGCTTTGTGTTTTCGATCTACTATGTACATCATGGATTTATCTGGAAAGATTTAACAAAATTTATTTTGACATTCATAAATACAAAATGAACCTTGAATAAAAGAAATATCTCAGTTGTTCTTGATTTTAAAATTCAGCGATGGTTGAGACTAATTTCGTGCATGTTATGTTTTTCTTTGGTACGGCAGCAGGCAAGATAAGGATTGATGTACAATACCCACAACGCATTGTGCACCCCACCTGTCCCTTGGTCATAAAACAGTTAGGAGAGAGAGAAATCGGGTTTAACGTCCACTCAACACAAACTAGGTAATTTTGGGACTAACATATGGTTCAATTTTATTTCCATAATTCGCTTGCGCATAGGGGTCTTTAGCAATGGGAGGAAACCGGAGGACCCGGAGAAAACCCACGAGGTTGAACAGGCGACCCTACTCCTTGTCACGTACAACCGGGAATCGAAACCACGCCAGTTGACTCAATGACACACTTTATGATACACCGCGCACGTGCTAACCATCCTCCAACCCCCCTGGATGGTTAGGACATGATTCTAGAAATGCATAAGCTGCAATTTTGTGTGCACATTTTAAAATTTCACACGTTATTAATTAATCAGCAGTTCGGATATTTGAAGTTAAAAGCGTCGCCAGATCACCGGATGACAAATAATAACGAAATATATTGAGGGTTCTTTGGGCTGAACCCGAAGAAAAAAATTTAAAACTAAGGAACACATATTTGCAAATTATTGGGGAGGAGGGTAATGTCAGTTCACCTAAAAAAAGACGCCATGCAAGGCCGCCACAAGGAGGAGATAAGTCTCTGGAAAATATATGGCTGGGATCATTCTCTGCTATTGTTACAAGGCACAGTAAACTGGGGCCCTGGAAGTGACGACCATGCAATATTTCCCATAGATGCTCGATAGGTGAAAAATAAGGAGGGTGAACTGGCTATTTGAGAACTAACACGTTGTTTTTGGTTCAAGAAGTCCATTCTTAAACGTGTGCAGATGTTGGTGGCGTTGGGTCAAAATTGGTTCGACGACGAACCGTATTAGTACATGCACAGATGAACCTACATGGACACCTCGCAGTAATATCCGTATGGGATGTTACCGGATACTGTGCCGGTATTGTAGAGGTGTCGCCTCCTAGACCTTGGTCGATCTCTCTATATATAGTGGGCCCGTCTGGTGGTAACGATCAGCCAGTTAATCAAGTGACTGCTCTGGTAGTCATGGCAGGTTCTCGGTATTCAGATGTAAGCCTTGGCATATCGTTGGGTCTTCCATATAACTGAAGGAGTTGTACTAAAGCAAGTCACATTTCATACCCCGTCTACATCATAAAATCATCATTTTCAGCTTTCACAAACTGTCGATATCAATTTTGAGGGTTCGAAAGAATTAATCTATGCTGCGTTAATTATGTTTTTGTCCTGACCCCCCCCCCCCTCTTCCTCTCCACAACTGGATCCCCAACTGATATAGATAGTCCAAAAATTGTGAACCTACTCGCATAACCCGCATGTATTAGGGGGAGAGAGAGAAATGGGGTTTAACGTTCACTCGACACAAACTAGGTCATTTCGGGACTAACATATGGTTTAATTTTATTTCAATAATTCGCTTGCGCGTAGGGGTCTTTAGCAGTGGGAGGAAACCGGAGGACCGGAGAAAACCCACGAGGTTGGACAGGAGACCCTACTCCTTGTCACGTACAACCGGGGATTCAATGACAGTTGACTCAATGACAGGCTTTATGACCGAACACAAATTGGCGACCTATTCAGCTAGCGACCTATTCGACCGATCCAGCTGGCAACCTGTTCGTGGCAACCTATTCAGAATTATGCCAACAGTCGCCCAAACTCATCTATTTTCATCAACCAATAAAATCCAACGAAACGTCTATCAAATGAAAGTAGAATATATTATTTTTTTATCCATATCTTTAGCCCCAGAATAGAGGTGTAATTTCGCATTATCTTACACAATTCTGAACATCCAACTAAATATATTCCGAAAGGTAATTAAATAGGCTTTCCAAATATTTTTAGTAAAGGGGTGCACTCTCATCCTAAACATGGCCAATTTTTTAAACAAATTAAAGGGAAAGACCGTTAATATCCCGTGTCAAAATTCGGACCATCGTATAAAATTCTGATGATCCAACTAAACATATTCTAAAAAGTAATTGAATAAGCTTTTTAAATATTATTCGTAAAAGTTGGCACAATCATCATATTAAAGGGGCGCGCTCTCAACCTGAATATAGCCAATTTTTCAATATTCTAAATGTAAAGATAGACCGGTATTTTTTTCGAAGTCAAAATTCGGATCATCATACAAAATTCTGAGCATCCAGCTATATATATTCTGAAATATTATTTACTAAAATATTATTAATAAAAGTTGGCACAATTATATTAAAGGGGCGCGCTCTCATCCTAAACATGGCAAATTTTTAAAACATTTTAAAGGGAAAGACCGTTAATATCACGAGTCAAAATTCGGACCATCGTACAAAATTCCTAGCATCCAGCTATATATATTCTAAAAGGTGATTAAATAAGCTTTCCAAATATACTTAGTAAAAGTTGGCACAATCATATTAAAGGGGTGCACTCTCATCCTAAACGTCGCCATTTGTTTCAATATTTTAAAGTGAAAGAACCGTAATATTCCGATTCAAAATTCGTACCATCGTACACCATTATGAGCATCTAGCTATATATATTCTGAAAGGTAATTGAATAAGCTTTCCAAATATTATTAGTAAAACTTGGCACAATTATATTAAAGGGGTGCGCTCTCAACCTGAACATAGCCAATTTTTCAATATTCTAAATGTAAAGATAGACCGGTATTTTGTTCGAAGTCGAAATTCGAATCATCGTACAAAATTCTGAACATCCAGCTATATATATTTGATAGACGTAACGTTGGATTTTATTGGTTGATAAAAATAGATGAGTTTGGGCGAATGTTGGCATAATTGTGAATAGGTTGCCAGCTGGATCGGTCGAATAGGTGGCTAGCCGAAAAGGTCGCCAATTTCTGTTCGGTGGCTTTACGATACAGTGCGTACGTGCTAACCATTCGGCAATTCACCCCCCCCCCACCCGCATGTATTAGGATTAATGAATGAATGACTAGCAAAATTTACACAAATTGTCTTGGCAACTCTTACCTTGAGCAGGTTACCACCATAGATGGTCTGGATAAAAACTTGTAATTTCGATATGAATCATCCAAATGCAGAGACTCTGGGCTATTCCACTTTTGGGGACATTCCCAATCCCCCGTCCCCGTTATTAGAGAAAAATGTTTTAAGCATGAGCAAAGCCGAGGATGGTGACGGATGTTTAAGACTTCCATGTAAGAAAGGTTGACAGTATCCAAAATATTATACTCCTTGACTGGAGACCCACATTGGTCTTGAAACCCTAGGGTTCAGCCTGTCCGGACTATAGGTAAGCCTAAACCCGGCACTGTAATCATCCTGAAGTCTGGACCACAATCCCACTAAATTTGAAAACAAAAATGCGTAAGGGATTTTGTACACCTCTAAAATACATTACGAGACAGTCGATGCTGCAATTATTGGTGATGCCAATCTGTGAATTCCCACAAATATATGACTTAATTTATGGCATATTTTATAAGAATATGAATAATTTTGTCTTATAGTTTTTTAAAAAATAAAAATAAATAATGTCACGCACCGCTGATGGCACCGTATTTTATAACAGGGATCTTCACTTTTATCAGTGTCAAAAGTCCGTCCGTCTTCATTAGCCCAGTAGGAGTAGAACAGTAGGACGTTAAATCACATTTCATTTCATTAATTCAAAAGTCCCTAATAGTTTTGTATTTTGAAACGGCTCAAAACGCAGGATGAAAATAAATCATACCCGTTGAATCCCGATCATCGAATCACATTTTCGACATTCGGCTTTCGGCAGATCAAAGACACCATATTCGAATCGGCCAACTTCTCTTGAGATGTGTACATGACCTTGGCTTTATGACCTTGAACTGCTTATACGCAGATGAGGAATGGCACGAGATCACCTGTAACTGTAGCAGAATGGAACGAGCCAAAAGAAGACAGCGAAAAAACATGGGCTATCTATCTTTTGTTGAGAAATTTGATGATGGTTGTCATGTTTCGTGATTCCCGCCACGTAATTCCCTACATCTTTGGGGTGAGAGCTTAGTAAGAGCTGTACTAAGTAAAAGTTAAATAAAATGGTTTTAAAGCCCCATTTTTCGTCACCAGTTTAAAGACAATCATTGTCAATCATAGAAGAAATCCGAGGAAGCTATAAGGAATTTTATGAAATGGTAAGCTGATGTGGATGAATGAAAACAAATGGACGGGATTATATGGCCATGTATTTAAAATGGCATCCCATGTCATGAACTGAAACAAACCCGAATTTTTATACACCCATATTTAATGTGGACATATATTATTGTAGTTATTTTAGTAATGGATTGTTATGGACTATAGGGGGCGTGGTCCGATAAGAATCTTTTACTAAAGTAACTAATGTTATTGTGATCGTCATCACCTGGGCCCTTATTCACGAAAACTTAAACTAAGATACAATCGAAATTTGAAGAAATACTGCAATTCGATTGGCTGACCAGTAAAATCAATTTGCATATATCCAATGAAGTTGCAGTATTTCTTAAAATTTTGGTTGTAACTTAGTTTAAGTTTTCGTGAATAAGGGCCCCGGTCTCTCACAGTTCCATGTGAAAACACTCAATTCAAATTCACAGCAATTGTTCATTTGGTACTGATAAGGAAGAATCCATTAGAATCCATTAAAATTTCAAATTTTTTCTGTTATCAATCCGACAGTTATATCTTTCTTATATTCAGACCTATTAAAGCTTGTATTGAATGCACAATACAGAACAAATTTTTTGACATCATTTTTAAATCTCTTTGGAATGGTTCTATATGATGGAAAAACCCTATTGCATGTAAATGCAAACATTATGTGACCCATTTTTTTCAAAGACGCTTTGCGGAGTTATGTATCAGGGCACATTTTTTATATTTTAAACTTGTGAAAATGATGCAAAACTGTTCTA